GCCCCACTCCTTTTTTCAGCTCCACAACTCCAAGCTGAGCTTGCAAAGTTTGAGCACTTTACCCTTGCTTGACTGATTGCAGAGAATTCAGTACCATGGTGCAGCATTTTAGACGAAAATATGCTTTAGGTTGGAGCGTTGCTCAAAAATGGTGTTTACGTGCCTCTTTCACAATAGCCTGGGAAATCAGCAGGAAAATATCCCTTGTCTTGTGTAAGTTTTAAACTGGCTGGCCTTTTCCACTCGAGTTCTGTTTCACAGGTTAGTTTCATTTCAGTTGGTCATTTTGCAGTAAATATAAAGACTATGTGAAACTTAGTTTAAAATAGGGAAACAAGTAATGTTCTCATCCTTTTGTTTCAATTTCAGCATCTTGCCCTGAGGGAAGGGTGGAAGTGTTTAATACCCCACAGGTATAAATCGGGGTAACATCTTTAAAATCACTGCATTTAAACAATGTAAGAGCCAGTTCTGATGAGATGAGAATCGGGTGTAAGAGCTCCCCAATGGATGTTTCTCAGGCATGCCTCAGGCAACTTTGAGGCTCCAGCTCCCTGAAGATGTGCGCTGAAGGCACGTGAATATGTGTAATTGTTCTCTGAGCCCTGCCTAAACTACTGTCAAGCCTGAAATCCCAGAACATTTGTTTCTTCTGTCAGTGAGGGACTGAGGGACTTGCTTCGGTCAGAGGCAGAACTTCTCTCCCTAGTGGTGGTGATCTGCATGCTTGCTTCCTGCAAGATGCAGCTTCACGCTTGGTCTTGAAGGGAACCTTTGTACACAGAGGCCCCAGATGTGCAGCCTGTAAATCTGTCACTGTAGGTATAGAGACCTCTAGCATGTTCCCCCCGGTGGGTGTGCCTGAAGTCAAGGTGCCAGAGTCTGTTGTTGCAGTTTGTGTAGCGCTTTGCATGCAAACTGCATCACAGATCACCTTGATGGAGGACCACTCTGATACCAGTTTATTAAGGATTCAAGAAAGGTGATAACCTTTGGTTTCCTATCCAGATTCCAATTTTCAGTGGTTTTAGCCTGCATCCATATCTTTCCTGGTGTTATGTAGGACACAGTGATCATCAGCTCTTTTTGTACCTTGGTAGGGTTGCAGAGATGCTCAGAGTTCCTTCTCCTGCCCCAGCAGTTGGTAGTGGGGGACAGTCCATGGATGCAGACAGCCATACATGGCACTCTCTGACCACCCCTCCCTGGGTGGCTTCTGCTGAGTTTGATGGGTCTGTGCAGTAAAACTGCACAAGTCCATTGGCTGTGTTGAAGGCACTTTGGGGCTCAAAGGATTAAATGCAAATTGTTGTTATGGTGAGTAAATTATAGCATGGAGTTAAAATTTGAGGTTTTATAGCACTTAGCATAATGGGCCCTGGCATGCCCGTGGCCTTTAGGCAGCTGCACCGTGTAAATCTTTCCAAGTCCAATAATCCTCCTCAAATATGTTTTGAATGCCCAGTGGCTGTTAAAAGATAATGCCATCAATCAGATGTGAATCATTTCACCCACAAATGGCTTCCTTGGTGCATATCCCTGCTAAGAGCTGCTTTGCTGCCCTGTTTTCTCCCCACTATCCTAATTCAGAGAAACAACAAGGCACTGATAAAGCAATGCTTCTGGCTGGGCTCAGCACCTCCCAATCTCGTGTAAAGTCTTCAAACTTTAAAGAAACCAAGGGGCTATATGGGTTCAATAATCAGCTAGCAAGTTCTCCTAATTTGCTCTTCTGGCCTCTCATGGCCTGGAGGATTTTCCAGAGATGCTCTTCTCTGTCTGGAGTATCCAGGTAATCTGAGAGACACTTTAAGGGTGGCTGTTGAGGCTGAGGACACTTTTCTGCTGTCTCTTACAGGGTGCACCTGGCTGTATGATCCCAGTTTAGCTTCAGAAATCTACTGGTTGGTAGAATTTCACTTTAGTCTGGTGGTACTTTTTATCCTCTTACAGTTTGTTTTTTCTCTGTATCATTTTTTGCACTAGGCTGATCTTGTCAAGTCGATTGCACTGTTGTCCCTCTCCTGCCAGCCCTGCAGAGATGGGTCATCTCTGGGGACCTGCAGGCTGGGAAGCACTGTAGAGAGGCTGTTGGTAGCCCACTTAACTCTGTCCAGTGCTTGCATTTCCAGCTCTGCACAGGGAGGATGTAAAGAGGAAGAAAACCTTTGTCTTAGCATTTGTAACAGGAAGCTTTTCTATCACCCTAATGTAGTTAAACTTCTTTTTAATAAAAACTGTGAAAGCTGGACTTCTCAGAGCAATGTGCCAGGTGACAGAGCAGATGGAGGAGACAAAGCAATTCCTGGAAAACTTACTTGGACATCACCATAATTCCATCTACCAAATGCTTGGTCGCACTGACACCTGGTGGCGGTTGGGATTGGAAACAAAAAATTAAAAAAAAAAAAAAAAAAGAGAACTTTTCTCTTAGCTTTCGGTATTTGTTTCCTGTGACTTGCCTAGGATAACCTGCTTTATTCATGAGGGGCTGCAGGACTCGACTGTGAGCAGAGAGGTTTGTACCAGGCATGTCAAGGATGGTTTGTGTGAGGACATCCTTGTCTGCACAGTAGTGAGATGGGACATTCGTTGGAGTCACCAGTATAGAGGCCCTGGGTAGCAACACAGGGTCTCAGCTCCATCTTCCTGCTTTGTCTGCCACTTGCTCCCTCTGCTCCTTGGGACCACAGCTAGAATGCAGAGACTCTGCCCTGGAATGGAGGTGGATCTTCAGAGAGAGCATCAGGTGCTGTTGTGAGGAGTGCAGTGCCTCGGGGAGCACCGGCGATAGCATCGTCTGGATGCACGGCCAAGAACAGAGAGGCTCTCCATCTCTGGGGGATCACAGCCAGGTGGGATCTGGGATGGCCCAGCTGCAGATTACTCCAAGGTGTCACCCAGAGATCTGGAACTGTGCCTGTAACATGGAGTCTAACATGTCCTGGGACTCTGCACCCTGCACACCGCCTTGGGGTATGTAGAGTGGAAAGAAACAATGAGGAGTGACCCAGTAATTGTGCTGTGAAGGATGTAATGCAGCTTGAGGATACAGTTCAAGAGACACTTTAAGGATCCCTCTGGCAGAGGATATGGTGTGAAATGAAGGAACACTATCCTAAGGACTATTTCAGCATTACCTTAGAGCATTGCAGCAGGGTCCCACTGCAGCCACTGCCATCAGCAACTTGTCTGTTCCCATCTGCCTTTGCAGCCATGCAGGAGCACATCTGTCCTTCTCAGCAGGTTTGGGACAGCTCCAATAGTCAGACACAACAAGCACCTTCATCTGTGCTGGCTCATGAGAGCCTCATGGGCCCATCTAAGCTGACAGCCGGGCTTTGAGCCGTTCTCAACACCTTCATTCCTGCTGGACACAAACTGCAAGCCCTGGCCGCTGCTCGGGATTACTGCGGAGAACACTTAGAAACACTTGTGTCTGGCCCTGGAAATAGCAGGGTTGTGGTTTTGTTTTCTTTGCAATAAAACACACCTTCTGGGTGTCGAACACTGACCTGAGTGCAGTGCTTTGCTTGGTTAGATCTGCCTGAATTCATGTCTGCATCTCGTAATGCAGTACTGGCCAGGGTTTCTCTGCCAGAATGGGGGTCAGCCTGACCTCCCTTACCCACAGTACACTCCTTAATTCACAGATTCCTGTGGAAGCCCTGAGCCTTGGCAGGTGCCCAGGCTGTGGAAACAGGCTTCCCCCATGGAGTATTCTTCCCCTCCAGTACTCACAGGACCAGCCCAGGACGCCTTTCATGCTAGAATGGCTTAGCACAAGCCTCTGTTCCACAGCAGTCCTGCCTGTGTGCCCTGTGCTACGTGTGTCCCACCCAGATCTCCACCATCCCACACCTGCTCCACACCTGGACCCCTACAGAATCACAGAATTATCAGGGTTGGAAAGGACCTCTGGAGATCATCCAGCCCAGCCCCTGCCAAGGCTGGGTCACCCACAGCAGGTGACACAGGAACATGTCCAGGTGGGACCTGAATGTCTCCTGAGACTCAATATCCTCCCTGGGCAGCTGTTCCAGGACTCTGCCACCCTCAACCTAAAGAAATTCTTTCTCATGTTGAGGTGGAACTTCTTGAGTTTTCGTTTATGGCCTTTGCTCCTTGTCCTTTTGCTGGGCACCACCAAAAAGAGTCTGGCACCATCCTCTTGGCAGCTATCTTTGAATGGATTAATGAGACCCCTCTTGTCGCAAGTCATGGAGTACAGAGAGAGCCCTGCCACATGTTCCAGACCCCATCCCAACCACGTTCTGGGCCAGCTCCCTCCTCAGGTGTGTTCCAGCCTGCTTCCCCCGGTTTATTCAGGCCCGGTTCCCTTTCCCCGAGCCCCGGTTCCAGCCCAGTTTGTTCAGGGCCGGTTCCATTTTCCTGAGCCCCGATTACCGTGCCTGGTTTGTTCAGGGCCGGTTCCCTTTACCCGAGCCCTGGTTCCAGCTCGGTTTGTTCAGGCCCGGTTCCCTTTTCCGGAACCCCGGTGTCCCCGGTTTGTTCAGAGCCGGTTCCCTTTTCCCGAGCCCCGGTTCCAGCCCAGTTTCCCGGTTTGTTCATGGCCGGTTCCCTTTTCCCGAGCCCCGGTTCCCCGGTTTGTTCAGGGCTGGTTCCCTTTCCCCGAGCCCTCGTTCCCCGGTTTGTTCATGGCCGGTTCCCTTTCCCCGAGCCCCCGTTCCCCGGTTTGTTCATGGCCGGTTCCCTTTTCCCGAGGCCCGGTTCCCCCGGTTTGTTCATGGCCGGTTCCCTTTTCCCGAGCCCCGGTTCCCCGGTTTGTTCAGGGCCGGTTCCCTTTTCCCAAGCCCCGGTTCCAGCCCGGTTCCCCGGTTTGTTCAGGGCCGGTTCCCTTCCCCGAGCTCCGGCCCGCGGGTCCGCACGCAGCGCGGCCGGCCGTTGTTCCTCCGGGCCGCAGGGGGCGCTGCGGGAGGGCCGGCGCCGGGCCGGGCGGGCGGAGCCGCTGCCGTGTTTACAGCGCCCGCCGTGCCCGCCCCGCCGCCGCTGCCCCTCGGCCCGGCCCGGCTCCGCGGCCGCTTTTCCGTTCTCTGCGTCAATGCGGCGCCGCCGCCCCGCGGCCTGGCTCGGCCATGGACACCAGCGACTTGTTCACCAGCTGCAAGAAGGGCGACGTGAGCCGCGTGCGGTGAGCCGGGCCGGGGAGCGGGTCCCTCGCACCCGCCGCCGCTTTAACCGCCCCGGTCACCGGGGCGAGCGGGGCCGGGCCTGTCGGGGCGTGTTCACCTGAAGCTCGGCCCAGGCCTTCCCAGGGCAGCTGTCACAGTTTATTTCTAGCACAGAAATGCCGCTTGTTTGCACCCCAAGGAGCTGGGTGTGCAGCGGGGCTGTGCCGGGGTTAGGGTGGGGTGAGGTGTGCCCGGTTCCCGCAGGTGTCTGGGTGTCGCACGGTCACTGCGTGCCCCTGGGTGTGGATGCTGCCGGTGGAAGTGTCCTTGCACAAGGCTCCTCTCCAGCTGCTGTTCTTTCCCGTTGGAAATGGTCTTTACGTTGGTAGGAAGCTGGATCCCTGGGACGCAATCGTCATGGAAATGTTTAGACGCCTTGTGCTGTAGGCTGCGGGAGTATGTCTGAGAAGTATGGGGATACTGAAATTTCAGGTCAAGTTTCCTTGCTCATCTCAAAGCAGCACAGCTTAACTGCAGTGATTTCGGATCTGGAGGCAGATAGGTTTGTCTGCAGGGTGAATGCAAAGTTCAGAGTTTACAACATGCTTTTTTCCTGCATGTCATGGTTTGAATCTAAAACTGTTCTTTGCCCCTTTATCCTATTTGATTCTTCCATCTCTTAATGTGTGATATGCCAGATAGTCAAAGCAATCTCTGTTTCAAGGTGCTGCTAGTAAAGGGTAAGTGTGCAGATAGATAAGGTTTGGAGAACCTTCTTATTTGTTGTGATTGTGTTAGTTTAAATCATTGGAAGCAGTAAATTCCAGGTTTACTGCAGAAGGAGTGATCTAAGAGATGGTCTTACAGAGATTTAAGATGATCTGTGTAGAAGCAGTGGTGGAGAAATGAGAGTCTGAGAGTGCTGTCAGAGCAGGGGGACAAATTGACCACATGGGACTGAGCAGAAGGAGCTGAGTTGCTTGGTGTGTTGAACATGTTCAGAGGAACCTGAAGTTTGAGACAACAAAGGTGGAGGGAGTGAAAGAGAAGACTCGTGGTGGGTGATAAAAAACCAAAACTCAAGAGTCTTGGTGAAGGCTGAGAGGGACTTTTATATGTGGTTGTTGCAGTACAGGCTCTAACAAGAGCCAGGCTGTGCAGATTTGTCTGCAAGGCAAAGCCTGGCTTCTAGAGGTGTCAGAGAGGGAGTGTTGGCAGCAGTGGATCCAGCTTAAACATGCAGGACAAGGAAGTGGCAGGATTTAAGAGCAGTCTGGAGTGCCACTGATGTTGTTTTTGCCTGACAAAAGCCATGAGCAGGAGGGGAGTCCAGCCTTGGCTTCATAAAAGTGGCCACGTATTTGTAAGCATCCAGGCTGGGAGCATTGCTGGGGAATGTGAAGGTGCTGCAGAAGTACTCAGGCTTCTTTTGAGATTGCTGCCCTGTTAGAGATGCATTTGATCACCCTCTTTCCCCATGTGCACCACTTAAAATTGAAGGGAGCTCCAGGCCATGCTGTAGAACACCATTCTTTGGGTTGAAGATTTGGCTGATGCCCCTTCAGCTACAGCTGACAATTCCCCAAGTCCAGTGCAAGATCCTGTCATACCTTTGGAAGTTACTCTATGAACTTACATCTTCTGAAAGAAGAGAATGTGACTGAGTAGCTGCATGAAGTTATAACTTTGCTCTCTCCCTTTTTTTGCAGATACCTTCTTGAGCAGCGAGATGTGGAAATCAATGTCCGTGATAAGTGGGACAGTACACCCCTGTGAGTGCTGCATCCTGGAGCACTGGCTGGGTGGGGGGTAGGGCCTCAGAGCTCCTTTACTCTCTCTGCATCAGCAGCCATGAGCACTGTTACAAAATGTCTCAGGTTCTGCTTTTTTGGAGCTTTGGCTATGTAGTTCTGCTTCTCTCCCCTGTGGGTGCTGTGCTAAATGTCTTTGTCTCCCAGTTTCTCTGGGACTTGCTGTAGTGATGCTGACAAGTGGGGTTTTGTGGCCAAATTACCTGGATTAAGCAGTCTGCTCTTGGCTGGATGAGGCTTTTCCCTCACCAAAGTCTATGGCATTCCAGCATGTCTTTTCAGGTGAAAGCTTGGCCTGGTAAAATGCCAAGTGGCAGTGGGATCACAGTCTGTCTGGCAGTAGGTCATAAGGAACCCCCTGGAGGTGCTGAGGGATGTGCTGCGAGCTTGTTACCTCCCCACAGTTTTAAATGACGTTTAAACATCTGCTTTATATTGAGAGTACAGAATAACTTCCCAAAGTAAAGATAGACTAACATTTCACTGCTGCAATGCAAGTTACGAGATTCTCCTAATCTGTAGGACAATTTGAGGTCCTTGTGAAAGAGAATCATGAAAGGCTTAGACTGTGAAAGTGAAAACAACACTCATTGTAGTAGAACTTTGGGGGGTGGATTTTCTGTACACCCAGTGTGGGTGCTGTTCCCTCCTTGGCACAGCATGCAGCAGTCAGCCTGACAACAGAAGGAGCAGAGTGTTTTTGAGAATTCAGTGGACTGCTGAGTGCTCATGAAATGATCTCCATTAAAATGAGGATGGATTTGGCAGCTGGTGGTGCAACAGAACATGCTGAACCCAAACTGGGACCTTGAGATCTCCTTGCAGTGCCTGGGTTGCTGGGAACAGATCCTACTTAGTCTGTTGCTGGGATCAGGCTTCTGTGCTATTTGGTAGCAATTCCTCACTCCTATCAGGAGTCGTCTCCCAAGCTTTTCAGGGATGCTCAGTGCTGTGATCTGTGTGTGGTGGTGTGCCAAAACACTGAATTTTGCTTCCTACAGCATCTCTAATTTTCTTTCTCTCGTTATTGTCAGGTATTACGCCTGTCTGTGTGGACATGAGGAGCTTGTACGTTATCTTCTAGCCAATGGTGAGCAAAGTGTCCTCCTGATATGGATGCAGTATCTTCCTCTGGTCTGTTGGGATTGTATGTCCTTCTAGCTGTCCCTTGTGGAAACTTCTTCTGTTACAACCAACCATCTGATCAGTGATCTCAGGCTACAGAGGGAGCCCTGCACACACCTTTACGGTCGCTTTTGCAGGCCATTTGCTGCTTGAATTTGCTTCTTGAAATCACCTAAAATTTCTTGATTTGCTTGAAATCTTGAAAATGCACAGAAAGGAAGCTGTCTGTGATGGCTCAAGGCAGCATAACTTTCTGAAATCACAGCAGATGTTTTGTGAGGATGCTGTGATGTGGGGAATATGGTGATCTAAGAGTTGTACCTCATAGGAAGGGTTGTCTGTGTAAAACTTGTTTGTACTCTACTGATAGCCTGGCTTTGTAAGCAGGACTTCAAAGGGATTTTGCTAATCTCAAACAAAGCAAGACCAGTTCTTCAGGCCAAGTGCCTGCCCTTTTGGTTCTCAGCACCCAGATTCCCCTAGGCACTGGTAGTGTTTTGCCAGAGAAACCAGAGTGCAGAGTCGCATCTCAAAAGGTTTGGTTTTCTACTTCATTCCCAGCAACTTAGTCAACCACTTGTGTAATTCTAAATAGGAAAGTGCAAATGCCCTCCAAAATTCTACCAGGTTCTAACCTAAAGAGGTTATATAAAGCAGAAATACTTTCTAGGTGGAGTTCTTAACAGTCCAAGAAATGATTGCACTCTGTTCAGGGAGATTTGGCTTCCCAGAACACTGATGGAGCCCTGCTGAGAGGCTTTTGCACAGGTCAGTTTAAACAAGTCACGACTTCCTCAGAAAGGGATTTGTCTGTGGGAGAGCAGCTTTAGATTGTACACATGTGAGGGAAGCTCAGTTTTTGTCAATATGCTCGTCAGCAGAGGGGACCACAGTGAAACATGTCAGCATACAGAAATCATACCTGTTTAGTGGCCATTTGGGGACACTGGGGAAGGATCTAACTGTGCCTGCTGGCCTGTGGCTGTTTTACAGGAGCAAAGTGTGAGGCGAACACTTTTGATGGGGAGCGCTGTTTGTACGGGGCTCTGAGCGACGCCATCCGCCGGCTGCTGAAGGAGTACAAGCAGATCACAGCCAAGTGCATGAGGAGGGACTACTATGATGTGTTCCTGCAGAGGTGAGGGCATGGGCATGGGCAGAGCAGCCAGCAGCCTGCCTGAGCTCCTCTGCATGTTCCAGCTCTCTGTTCAGGCAGCTGAATGTAATGCAATACTGGCCAGGGTTGCCAGCTGCCATTGAAAGGCAGCTGATCAGTTCCCTCTCTCGTTCCTGGGCATGTAGAGCTTCCTAAGGGGTGTTCCTCTGTGCCCTAAGGGATGATCTCCAGGTGTGTGCATAGCCTCCAGTGAGTTGGGTACACACTCGAGTCAACAGAAAGCTGGTCTTTATAATGCACGAGTTCTAAACTGTCATCCTTGACTGTCAAACCAAAATCTGATCACTAGAACCACATCAACAATTTAGGATAGTATGTCAACTGAAATTAAAGTTTCAGGCCTGAAGGTACTATAGCTTGCAAGTTTAAATTTTCAACACTGTCAAAATGTTTCTCATTTGTGAAACAGTCCTTTAAGAAGCCTCAAATTAATTCACAGTGACATTGTCCAGTTCTTTCTTTTTGGTTATTAAAATTTGTTAAGATACTTTGGAAAATTGCCTGTCCCACATTGTACTAGAGCTTGAGTGGCAGGTTAACTTGCTCAGGAGCAGAGGAATAATTTCAAGCTTTTCTTCTTGCTGTTTCTCTACCTTGGTAACTCTGATGTTATTACAGACTTGCTGGTTGTTTTTTTTTTTTTCCTTTTTATTTCCCATTGGACTGACTTACAAATGTTAAAACCTCAGGGTTTTATTTGTCTTTGTCTTTGGAGTGTTAATAAGTCCTAGAAAAATCCGACAATCTTCCCAGTACTACAGTGCCCTAATTTCTGAAGCTGTAGGAAGCAAGGGAAGGAAGGAAACTCATTTATCTGAGTAAAATCAGATTCTGTGTTCAGGGAAGCAGAATTTTGCAGGGTGATGTATTACTGCCTTGGTGACTGTGGCTCAGATGTGCAGGGCTGAGCATACATGAAAGCTAAAATGTGCTGGTTTCTGCTTCTCATTCAAATAGACCTTGTGTTAAAATTGAAACAAAGGGCAACAGTTGGGGGGAAAAAGTAAAAAACGCAATGCTTCTGTTTGGTTTGGGGCAAGACACTTAGAAGGAAGGGTGTGCTAGTGGCAGGAAATTGAGATTAGTATTGAAGACTGACAACATCTCTGTGTGTGACTCCACACCTATCTGTGCACCAGTCCAGCTCTCTAGAAGGAATATGATGCTTCATGTCCACCTGATTTGACCTCTTGAGGATGTTTGTGAGCATATATATGGAAGGACTGATGGGCATTAGAAGGACAAACACTGATGCTGGTTGCTTTAAACTCTAAAACTGGCAGTTTTGTTTTTTTCCTTTTGAAGAATGAAGGTATGAGCATGCAGGCATAAGCAAGGCTTCACCTCTGATGTGGTAATTGCCTGTATTTCATGCCTGTCACATCCTTCCTTCTTCTGAGGGTGGGGGACATCAGGTCTTCTCCTATTTGTTACATGGTTAGAGCATGCACACTGACAGTGCCCAGAGAGCAGGAAAGCTGCATCTTACTTTTTAGCAGAGTAGTTCTTTTTGAAAGTGTGTCATTTTGTGGGGCTTTTTTTTTGACATCTGAAAATTTAAAAGCAGTATTAACTTTTGAAGATGTGCTTGGCAGCAACTAGTTCCACTTTAAAATCTTGTGTTCAGATGTTCACCTAAGACAGGAAGATTTCATTCTGCAGCCTCCCTGTTGCCCTAACAAAACTTGTTTGAGTTATGGAAGGCAGTGGGACCCCACTCCAGTATGTGAAGCACCAGCCCCTGTGCTGGCCTTGCTGTTGGGCAGGAGAGACTGCAATGCCCAATGTTCATTTAGCCCTAATTGTACCCTGTTCCCCACTAGCATTACTCCATTCTTTCCTTTTCATCCTGCAACGAGTTTCCCTTGTGTCTGTTCCTCACAGGCTGCTGGAGCAGGGTTACCAGAGTGACATTGTTTTCATCGTCCATGGCAAATCCTTCTGTGCCCACCGCTGCATCCTCAGCGCCCGCAGCGCCTACTTTGCAGAGATGTTTGAGACCAAATGGAAGGGGAAAAACATGATAGTGTTGAAGCACCCACTGGTGAGCAAGGCTGTGCTTCCAGTTCTTTCTTTTGCTGTTCCAGCTGGGTGAGGAATGTGAGTTTGAGGGTTAACTTCCACAGTGAACAGCTCCTGGGGCTCAGAATGACCCTAGTTGTGGAGAGGGGCTTGCGGAGGCACTTTATGCAGTAAAATTGCATCTTTTTCAGATAACAAAAAGCTGCAGATTGCCTTCCCTTTGTTCCCTCTGTCATGGACTCAAACATATCTTAATTAATTGCAGTAGCATGTAGCTGTTACCATCTGCCAGCTGCATCATGACCCCTCTCTGGGATGAGTTGAGTGTGTGTAATTCCTGGTGGACAGGTGGTCTGTGGTGAAGACATCACCTCCATAATTGCCACTAATTGAGTCCCCTTTGTTGCCTGTCCAGCAAGAACTAAGTAGTCCATAAGTGCATTCCATCCATTAACCATCAATACTCTGGCACACATTTCTGTAACTTGACTCTGGCAGTGCAAATCCTCTTGTGACAAACATAATTCCAGTTTCTCAGAACACTGCTCTCCTCTCTCTTTGTACAAGAACATCTTTCCTCTGGAGTTAGGAAGATGTGGAAATGTTTATGATCAGTAAAAACCTGGATTTTGCAGAGCCTGTATTACAACTGTGTCTTTTGAGTTCCTCCATTAGTCAGGTCCTGTCCCCTGAGGTACCTGAGGGATTAGTATCAATTGAAACATTAAAGAGCTGTGTAAGCCAGGTGGAGTGGCAGCATTAGTTATGTGAGGAGCAAGTAAATCATCATGTGTGATTTCTTACTAAAGGGTGTTTTTTTCTTACTTGTTCAGGATCATGTTTCTAACTCATTGTTAAATCCATGGTGATTCCAAATGTAACTTTCTCTTGTTTTATTTTAGATTAACCCAGCAGCCTTTGGAGCTCTTCTGCAGTATCTATACACAGGTAAATGACCTTGCCCTCTGGTGTTTGTTTACATGGCTGGTGGGCAGCTGTCTGTGCCTCTGCACTGAGTGGCACAGCCTTGCACTCAGCAGTGTTTGGGTGCTTGAGTTGCCGACAAATCCTCTCTGCTGGCAGAAAGGGAGAATGTGAGCAATCACCAGCTCTTCCAAGATGTTTGTACCTTTTGCCAGTTGTTGTCCTGCCAGTAATTACACAGTCAATTAAAACCAAAATCAGCTTAGGTTGGTTGATTGAATAGATTTGGAGACTGTATTTTTGACTTAAGGAAGAAAAATGTGTCATCTGGTGTAACAGCCTCATAAGGTGATGAAAAGCCAGTTTCCCATACAGGACATTTTCAGTTTGGCAGACCTGAGCAGTGTGTGCTGAATGTTTTGATTACTTTCTAGTATTTTTTTGAGCAGAAGTTGATCCTAAACCTTCTATGAAAATACCCAGTGTTGTATTGTAGGCATGCTAAGTGCTGAACTATCTCAGGCCAGGAGGTGGTGCCAGAAATTAACATTGTCTTCAAGGCTCTTCTTTTCCAATACAGTGTGTTCAGAAATGTCCCTTGCCACATTTTCAGTGATTGTGAAAGATCCTGGGAAGAAAACTTGTGAGCCTAAAGTCTATTCTTACCCAAAGCCAGATACTCAATGGTGGCAGTCATGCCTGCTGCTATTGTGTTGCTGTTTTTTGATTTTCTGAGGGAATTAGACATGTTTTGTATAGCCTGTTTGGTCTTTGGACTCGTGAATGAAGCTATTAGGGTAAACCCTGGAGAGTGGAAATGTGAGTTAAATGCCAAACTGTTATTGATTTGAGTGGTGGGTGGTGGGGGAATACCAAGTCTTAGCTTCTGGGACTGAGTTGTAAGTGGATGCTGAAAAGTGGGGCAATGTATCTAATTACTAAATTTCTGTGCTGTGAAGTCTTTCATCCTTATTTTTGCCATTTTTACACCTAAATCCTGGGGATTAAGTGAGCTGACTGCATTTCTTCTTGACAGGTCGCCTGGATATCGATGTAGAATATGTCAGTGATTGCAAGAGGTTGGCCAAGCAGTGTCGGCTGCAGGACCTCATTGATGATTTGGAGACCAAATGTAAAAAAGTCTATGAATTTGGTAAGCATTTGACTTGCTGTTGTCTCTGCTGTGCCTGTGTGCCCTTCCAGGGAGAAACAGGAAAGTGTGATGGTGGATATTTCATGGTGTCCTTGGGTCTTCTGGAAAATGATTCTGTTGTGGAATTTTCACATTTGCATGACAGTTTTCAGTCATGGCCTTTCTGTAGGGTAGCTCTAGTAGTTTCTGACACATGCATGTTTTTAATTTATATTGAATGCTTTCTTTATGGCAGCAGGACTTTGCCATGGTTGGCAGACATTCAATTGAGCATAGTGAAACATATATTGGGAAGTGCCTTCCAACATGGAACTTATTTAAATCCTCAGAAAGATAAAATATATGCAGTTAGAGGTAATTTTCTGCATTTATCTGACCCCTTACCAAAGTAAAATATTTGATAATTGGCCCAAAAAGGGTGCAGAGGGAGATAGAACTCTTTTTTAAAAGCAAAGTATTTCTGAAAGCATGTGTATATTAGTAACACATGGATGTGCCAAGCCTTAAGTGAAGCAATCCTCTATTTAAGGACTTTTTGTTATCCAAAGCTTATTTCATGAAGACCAACAGTTGGAGTTGATCATTCATCTCTTTAGCTGGAGCTAATGCACACGTGAAGAGCAATCAGAGCAGCACAAGTGCTGTTAGTCACGAAGCAGAAAAAATTACCGGATAACAAAACCTTCAGGCTGAAAGCTGCTGATTCTCATTCCGTGCTCTGAGTTAACTTCTTTACTTTAATCAAGTTATTTTTTTCCTGAGAAGAGACTCCATTCTATAGTTTAGAGGCAATAGCTTCTTCTTCCCTAATCTAAAAGGCAGGGGTGTAGCTGTTCCACCTTTTCCTTTTGAACACGAGTTTTATTCATTCAGCCTCCTGAAGCTGCAGGACGTAATTGATAGAATACTTCTGCCTCAAGAAATTCCTCATCTGTAAATCACATGGAAGATATTACCATGTGCAGGTCTCCCTTTACACATGTGCAGTTGTTTGGAGGTGGTGGGGTAAAAGATTACCATGCTACAGCTGTTCCCATGTAGACCAGGGTGCTAGTCCTTATGGAAGCTGTGTCACAGGTCTGACTTCTGCAATGTAAACACAAATGTAAACGTGGACCCAAAGAGATTAGAAATGCATTTCTTGGTATCTACAAAAACTGTAAGTTATCAGTTTGTATTAAATAAGTGGCAGAGAAGGGGAGTGGTGAATGAGTATAAAATAAAAGCTACTCAGAAATCAGGTAACAAAATTACTTTGTGTCATCTTTTGATATCAGAGTAATTCAGTAAGATGCCATAGATCTGTTTTTTTCTTTTTATCTTTTTCTCCCAGGGTCTAGCTGAGACATTCCATTAAATTAATTTATTTAAAATCTCATATTATATTGTGGAAGGAAAAGAAGGTGCTTAAATCTATGATCTGCAAAAAAGCTGATTTCTTGGTGGGTTTTCAAATGGAAAGTAATGAAGTAAAGTTTCAGGTTAGTTGGAAGTTTTAAATAAAAGCAACACTTGGAAATACAATGACACTGGACAAATAATTTAACTTTTTTGTTCTTTGGGGAGGGACCAGTTTTTCAATTTTAAGGCCTGACAGAAGACTATCAGTGGGTGGTTTAAGCACTGATGGAATTTCTAGTCTTGATTTTTATTTATGACAGGTTGGATTCAAACAAATAGAACAACTGTTAAAAGTTTGTTTCTTAAATCTTATGTGGAAGCCAGGAAAACTTGATTCTGGAAAGGTCTTAGATCACATCATGTCTGGCACTTGACAAAGCGTGTCTGTTTCTTTGAGTGTTTTAGAAACCTGTTCCAAGTGTGTGCTGTGGAACAGACATCTGATTCAGGTTTGCAGAGCAAGGTCATTGCATCTGTATTATGAAGCTGAAACAAGAAAACCAGATGAACTCAAGCCTTTGCAGCTCCACTGCATAATTGCAGTGTCTGCAATCTCATTATCTAGAGTTAATCAGTGTTTCAAAATCACTTACTATCTTGGCATGCACAGGCAGTAGTACAGGAGGAGGATGACCCAGTGCCTTCTGTTGCACCTGAGATATATTTGGGTGTGAATGCTTCCCCTGTGTGTATATTGTGGCTATAAAAGGAAAAATTATTGCAGTGTTTGGAAGAGCTCGGTTTGTCCACATTAAGCCATAATCCTTCCTGTAAAAATGCATGTATTAAAAAATAAATATTCTGCAGTTACTTCTGGAAATTTTGGGCCAAATTTTGCAGCAAAATTACAGCAAATTTTGGGCCAAAAAGGATGAGAGCAAGGTTTGAGATGCTTACCATTGTAGAAAAGACACTGGGTATTCAGAATCTGTGGTTATAGCTAATTATGCCATAGGGAAGAAGATGCATCTGAGTGTGAACATTTTGAAGATTTTGGGAGTTTAGTGTGGTTTATTTGTGGCTCTTATGTTTTGTGGTACATTGGCTCAATTTTACCAGAAGACTGCAAGGAAGTATTGAGCAGGAAACCAAGGCAGCTGATACATTGGTAGGTGATGCTCAGTGCTGTACAGCTGTGCTAGACTGGGAAGAAATCCAGTCTGAATCTCAACAGTTTGGTTATTCCCTTCAGCTCCTTGCACTGTTTATGTTGCTTTTTTCAGACACTGTTCCATTCTTGTATTCCTCTCTCATGGTCCCTGCTCCTTGCTGGCAGCCAGCAGCTTATTCCTATTTCACAACTTTGATTTTTGTTGTCTCTGTTAGGAAAGATTTTGAGTGATACCAAATGCCATGCCCTTGGATTTGAGATGCAGTGTCTTGAGTAGATTTGCTTCTCAGAAAAATCACTGTTCTTTTGTGTCACTGGGAGAGTTCACAGATGCTCTGTGGATCCCAAGAGAAGAGCTCTTTGCCTTGACTTAAAACTTGCTGAGTCCATTAGCACTTACAGAGCCTGACCTGGTGACTGTTACAATAAGTACTACAGAAATACAAATGTTTCTCTCTGCCATGAAGAATTTCTAATTGCAAAGTAAGAAATTTCCTTCTCTCATGCTGTTGTGTAAGTGATCAGGGCTTTTTGAGAAAATGCACTCAGTCTGGTTTGTGTTGGTGCCAGGCCTCCTCTTAGCTTATTTACCCTGGAAGTCATCTGTCTGAGGCTAACAGGGCAGCCTGTCTCCTTGCTGGTGAGCTTTGTGTGTAACCATCATGGTACCTGACTATTTTGTACTGGTAGATTATCCTTCCCTTTCCAGCAATCTTTCTGGTATATGCAGCCTATGGAGAGGCACAGTGGTGGCATATCTGAAGGGTGCAGCAGTGATGTGGAGGAGGGGGTGGAGATCTTGTTTTGTGGCACATCGTGGTCTCGTTTCGCCCACGACCCACTGGAGTCATCTGATGGAGCTCATGTAATGCTGTGCGAAATGTCAGGAGAAATGAGGTCTCAAGGTGGCGTGATTCACCTGTGAGGGGTTTTAATGTGGTGAATCATACCTGTCAGAAATTCTTCTGAATGCTTTGGAGTTAACTCTGTGTCTCTCTGGCTCCCAACAGTATCTTAAGGCTTCCTCACCACAACTTTGCATTTTCCAGTGGTGTGCTGTCTTTTTTCACATGCTTCCTTGTGTGCCAGGGACTCTTGAATGTCTTACATGCTCCAGTCCTCACCCCAAGCCTTGCTGACCTGGGAACAAACCTCAGGTGGTGGAGCAAAGTAGCCAGAACAAGAGAGACTGTGCCAAGCGTGGCATCATATCATAGTGGGTCTGCTTTGGGCTGCCACTTGTTTGAAGTTAGGGCTGGCTTCTATGAGCTCCACAACAATTGTGGTCATAGCAAGACCTCTAAAGTATGATCATGTATTTTGCTTTCCCTTTAATGAGCTGTTCTATTGTGATGGCTGATAAGACAAGATGGGAAGACACACTAGGTCTGAAAAAAGCAAATGAAATTGCTGTTTCGGAGTGGTTTGTTTGAGCTCTTTGGTGGTAGTGGTGCCTAGGTCAGGCACATGTAGGAGTCTGGGTACTTTGGGGTCTTTGTGCCTTGGGGATCATGGATGGAGAGTAGAGGACAGACTCATAGCTACTGAATTTACTAGCTAAACAAGAATAAACCCCTTTGTTCCTTGCATGAAGTCAGGATGGCGCAGCTGAAGTGGGAGCCAGTGAAAGCACATGTCAGAGCAGAAAGGCATGGAAGCAGATTAGTTTTAAAAACTCCCTGGCATGGGCTTTACCCTAGGTGACACTGTCAGCTCTAGGGGTGCTGGGGAAGGCAGTGTGAGAGTGGCCTCTACAGGGATCATGGCAGCCTGATCCATGGTCCTTAACTGTAATTGATGACATGGATTCCAAGGAGCAAGTTGGGCTGAGGGGTGCTGAATGTGTGTGTGCATAGAAGAGTTGTGTGTGTTTTGCAGTAAAAGCTGAACAGCAATAATACTGGTTTTCCTGGCACGTCTTTTATCTAAATGAGAGAGAATTTTTGTAGAGGAATTCAGGAATCTCTGCTCTTTTGTTTTTTTGCTTCTTGCAGTCTCTTCCAAGCCAGGGACCTGTGTGAAAGTGCTGACCATTGAGCCCACAGGTAACTGCCGGCTGCAGGAAGATCTGGCTCTCCTGGCAGACTGCGCCCTGCCAGCTGAACTGCGGGTAGGGAGCACTTCTACTCCTCCTGGGCTCTCTGGGGCTGGGATGGCTGCTCTCTTGTTTCACATCTTTGATGTACAGACTTTAGTGCTGTCTTGTTTCCTGGTGCTCCAAGTGCTGAAAGGCTTTTATCACTTGGAAATGCTGTAAAATTGTGTAATGAGGCTGTTGGTGCTGGTCTTTCCCCTTGGATGTTTCCCCCAGCAGGCATCTTGGTAAATAAAAGCCTTTCCTTGTGGTTGGTGGGGATTTCCCCATTGAATACCATGGGACAAGGCCCCCAGCTCTTCTCTTTGCCATCCTTCTTGAGAATTAGGAATGTTGTAGCAGCAGGCATTGGTACCCAAAGAGAGATGTAGGTGAAGGATGGCTTACTGGGCTTGCTTGCTAGGAACTGACACACTGCAATAGAGAGATGTTTCCAAATCCTGAAAATATTTCCAGCAGAAATGTGAGACCCTCTGAAGAGAATTTAATTGACTGGCAATAGATCTGCTTTTCCCAGTTATGTCTTGTCCCTCAGAAATAGCCCCCAGGTTAATGTTTGTGTTAAAATACTATCATATTATTAGTTAGGATAACCTATGTGGATCTTCCTCCCGTTTTCAGAACAGGATAACTGTTAGTTATCTTCACTCTTTCTGCATCTGGTGCTTTCTGTAATATTAGCAGATTGATTTTGGTCTTATGTATGTCCTTTTTCTGTCCTCTTTTTTTGTACCAACCACTGTATTTAATAATGTGGACTCATTTTAAGTGGCTGCTGTGCCCAGAGGTTGTATGACTGAGTAATACAGCAAAGGTTTATTGCCTTTTCTCTTTCTGTCCCCTGCCAAATACACCTGCCTGGTGCAGAGTGTGTGTCTGTGTGTGTACATAGATAAGGTTTCTTACATTCATAAGCCAACATGTTTTGTGCTGGCTATTTTCAGATATATTTCACTATAGGGGGTTTTTATTCTCCATCAAGTTTACAACTACCAGTTCAGAAATCTTTCCTGTGTAACCTGCCTCCTCCAAATAACTCTACATTTTTTGTAACTTTTAATATGTTTTCAGACTTTAAAGGGAGGTGGTACTATGAGTAAGCTTCAGATTACTTCCCCAGGAACTAAAAAAAAGGATCATGGACCCCAAAATAGTGACATTTACATATATTTTAAGTCACTTCACAAATAAAAAGAATACTTACTGTTTGATTGCTTGATTCCAGACCTTGATGGCATACTCCTATTAAGCTGTTCTTCTAGAGATAGAAACACTTTCCTTCTTAATTCTTTCATGTAGAATAGGAGCTGTAAGGAAAGGAGGAAATTGGAATGGTGTAATCATCTGACAGTGCTGTGAGTTGTGAGCTGTGGTGTTCTTGCTGTGTTCATAGATTGGAATGAAGGCAGCATTAGAGTTATTACAGCTGTACAAGTGAGGAGGCTGTGGGCATGCTTACCTGCTCACTAGGGAATTTGTGTGCCATGCACATGTGTGGGTGCTTTGTTTAAGCCTGAAAATTCTAAAAGATTCCCATTTTTCTCTCTCTAGGTACTTCTTGTTTGTTCCTTTTTGTTTGTTTGCCATTTATCTCTTACTCTAATGTTTTCAAATTGTTAAATTCTTTGAATTGGGCATCTTTGTTCTGGGACAGAGGCATTGCACATCCTCATTCTTGCAGGGTTTGCTGCCATTCAAGGAATAGGATACAAACTATGTAACCTAAAATGTCAGGAACAAGTGAATAGTTACACACAGATATCTGTGTTTTGAAGAGAAGCATACATTATTTTTTTCCCAGCCTATGCAGAACAAAATAGATATTTGTATTCTGGATAAAAGCTTGCATTTCCAGAATTTGGCAAGAAACATTTTGAGCTGCTGCATGTCATGTAATGCCATATTACATGAAATGGGAATGTATTCAGCTTTCTGTTTCAGTATAAACAAATAATTTGCATGTAATGTCTTTGATACTTGGATGTTGTTTGAAACTTTGTGCATTTCAATTTCATGGTTAGTGGTATCTTACACAACTAAAAAAATAATGGATGTTTGATATCCAGTTACAGCTCATTATTATTTTCTAGACTGAGAACTAACTATTCTTTGAAATCTCAAACACATTTATAATTCTGGTACCTTGTTTCTCTTTCCTGTTTGTGCTTGAAAGCCTTTTTTTTCCCCAGTGTCTCCTCTTACAAGTGTAGTTGTTGTCTCTGCTTTGTTTTAAAGTAGTAATGGCCAGGATTTTTCTGCCTATAACAGCTGCTTCCTCGGTTTGTTGCAATAAAATTTAGCAGTGACAGATTTAAGTGAAATACCATGAAAAGCCGGGCAACTGTAAAAAACCATGTGGCTTCCCACTGTCTGCCTGGTTCTTCATGTCTGCCAGGTGACCTCTGAGTTACAGACTCCACGGTTTCCTTGGAACTGTTTTACAGTTACCTTTTAACCGAGATCTTATGTTCCAAACCAAGATGAAATCAGACTTAAAGGATCAGAGTTTGCCATGAAATAAATACTGTTCTTTCCATCCATATTGACACGTGGTGTGGCTGCAAAAAAGAGACCATTTGCCATTTTGGGGGTAAAACTAGATCTTGTCATGCATTGGAAGAACAGTTTGAAACAAGTAGATGGGTTCATCTTGTCTGTCTGCACCTGTGTACTGTGCTTGTCCAAGGCAGTGACTCGTGTGCTTTGCTTTGCCTGTTTGGCAGAGGCAGATGAACTGAAATATTTACAACATGTTTCCAATTTAGGATTTTTTTTTTTGTATCCAATCTGCTTGCATCTGGTTGTGAGCTGCTAATCTCTTAGATCACCAACCCCTGTATTTTGTGTTGTAATTTATTTACAATTTTCTTGCTGAGATAATCTGGCCAAGGTACAAATTGCTGCCACTGATTTGTTTTCTATGTTTTTGCCTCCAGCAACATTTCTGTTTAAGCTCTAATAGGAAATTTGCAGCAGCAAAGACTTGGTCTTCCATGTGTGATGGTGGAGAGTATTCAGAGTATTTCTATATGGTGATTGTGAATGTGTTTGGACCTCGCAGGCTGGACTGTGTTGTGCTCCTTGGGCAGAATACTTGACTTTGGCAGCTGTGCTTTGCCTGGACAGAGGCCCATGAAGGAGGTTGTATGAATAGGGGTGGTGGGAGAAATAAGCCAATTTTCTGCAGGAAGATCCTGGAAAGGAGATTAGATTCCTCAAGTATGACAAGGGATGAGAGTAGAAGTAGTAAGACTTGAAAGGGGACTAAAAGGGAAAATTCTGCAAAGCCACTTGGTGCTGAATAGGAGAAACAAAGACATGAACCTGCTTTTGTAGTAGGAATTGAAAATAACCTTGTAAACCTGAGCAGCAGAGTGGGGACCAGGCAAGGCTACAAGCAGGAAATTGAGCCCAGAGGAATTTATAATTCAGGAGACAAACTCTGAGACAAATAAAACTCCCATATCCATTCCAGAGGGATAGACTTATTTTAGAGATTTACCTTTGGGCAATGAAAGAGAGCTAAGAAAGGATACACATAGGAGATGTGGTGTTTATCTCAATTAAAATTCCTGTGCCACAGAGTGACATCTTGTCAAAGTTTGTTTCTAGGTTTGCTTTACCTGTGATGTGCCTGCAAATCTGTAGCCTTCAGATTTCTGTCAGAATTTGTAGCAGAGGACATGGAAGCTGTGGCATAGGGTGGGGAGAGCAGCAAGGCAGACAGAGCAGGCAGTTCCATCGTGATACTGGAGTTTGTAACACACTGCCACAGAGTCAGGCTGCAGATCCCCAGGCCATGGAAAAGAACCAAAGCCTTGAAATATGAGACATGGATAACAGTAAAATAGCAGCCTGGGGAATCTACAAATGGGACAACTTCATCTCATTTTGATGAGGTGCTGCCCTTTGTGTTGCAGCTGTTGCCCTTTGTATTTACAGCTATATGAAAAAGAGGTGATAGATCAGGTGGGCAACATTCCTTGAATTGGTGCATCTCTTCTGGAAAAGGAGTTGCCCAGTGGAGCAGGACTGCAGGAGAGAGGTGCTATGGAGAGCCAGCATTACTGCAACAGCCTTGTGCATGATTTACATCACTGGGCTTCTCCTGTGATCAGGAACCAGAAGCTGCCAAGTGTTGCTGTGGACAAAGAGCATGGTGGATGGGTCCAGATTGCCATGGTCAGTGGTGGTGTGAGCTTTTGCCAGCTTGGTGCCTTGCCACATCCAAGAATGTGTTTTGTGAGGAACCTCACTGAGCCTGGTTGAGAGCTCCCACCCAGTGTGTTCCACTGTGTCTTTGTTCAGCTCAGCAAGGAGGAGGCATCTGGCTCCTCAGTGGAGCTGGAAGCCCTGCTGGAGGCAGGTGGCTTGGAAATGGACAGTCTGCTGTTGTGAGTCCAGTCTTTATTGTCAGGCCAGGGCTTTCCTGGGTGCAAACTTGGGATGAAAGACAGCAGGAATAAGCTGCTTATCCTAGGTACCTCAGGCACATGTTTATGGAAGGCAAGAACCAGGGGAAACTTTTGTTTTCAGAGATTGTCTTGGCTACATGACTGTAAATATAAACTTTTTTTTTTTTTTGCAATTGAATTACACTGTATATAGAATAAGGTGAAAGGGAAAATATTTGGAAGTATCACTTTAAAATAACATAAGGCAAACAGGCTTTTTTTTTGGTGTGTGCTGTCATTGTTGGCATGTGGGATTGGGTGGAGGTGTGTTGTTAAAATAATTCACTTGAGTATTAATACTGCAACAACATTATCTTTGGCTGCAAATCAAATAAAAAAATCTAAAATGTGCTCTAGCAATGTTGGATTATTCAAGAGAGGCAATAATTACAGCCAAACCATTTCAAACTGGTGTATATATGGATGTAATCTATATGTTATTACATGTACCCAGTAAAAGGCTGGCCCCAAGCTCCAGTATGCTTATGATACCTACTGCATGAAGTAAACTTCACCTCCACCTGGTTATCTGCCTTGTTAGATGGCAGAGAAACACTTTCCAAAGGTGTATGGAGAGTCAGGAAATTGCCATGGATAAAGGAGGCAGATGTAACTTGTACCAGGAATATCTCTGAGAAGCAGTGGAATTCTTCATTTCCTGACATTGGAATCTGTGTTCAGAGCATCACTGGTGCTCTGCACTGTGCTGAGGGAATAGAGGGAGGGAATTTTCTGGGAAAACATAGGAGTCTGAACTTGGGACCCTGAGTGTGTCTAAAGCAGGAATATTAAAGGAAGGGTTTTCTGGTGTCTGTTCCCAGGTTGGTTTTGGGGAGTTGCCCTTTGACAGCACTGACAACTTCAACAGCTGTCCCGACGTGTGTTTCCGTGTGGAGGATTACAACTTCTTGTGCCATAAGGTATGTGCTTGTGCTGTATTTCCTTCTCCTCCCTTTTTGCCATGAATCTAGTCTGCTTGTGTCCCCCACTCCTTCTGTGCTGGATACACTCTGCAGAAGCAGCTTTGATTCAGCTGGAAAACTGCATTAAAACATTTAACAAAGCAGCAGAGCCTGCCTTTCTTGCAGAGGTGTGGAGATAAATTTATAAATTCAGCTATGGCATTCATAGCTGCAGAATCTGCTGCTGCTGGCTTATGAGTTCAGTGTCTGGAGAGAGGAATGTTTGATCTGCAGATGAACAGCATTAAGAATGAATTTTGAGATCCACCCTCAACTCAAGGTCCTGCCCTTGTGCCGTGCTAATTGAGAATCTCTTGAGTTCACCATTTATATTTGTGATTCTGAGGGTAGGCATGGATAGAATAAGATCTGAAAAAATATTGGAGATACAGCCTCAGAATGTAAGGAAAATCAAAGTTACAGAGTCTGAACTTCTGAAATACCTTTGAGCTGCTCTGACAGCTGGTTGGTAGTGCCCTTTGGCTTGGTGCAGTGAGCAAGGTGTCAGTGTTTTGGTTTTTCATTCCTCTCCAGGCATTTTTCTGTGGTCGCAGTGATTATTTCAAAGCTCTTCTTGAAGATCATTTCAGTGAGAGTGAGGAGCTACAGACACAGCCCAGCATCCCTGTGGTGACTCTGCACAACATCTCTGAAGACATCTTCATCCGGGTCCTCTACTACATCTACAGTGATGATACAGAGGTGAGCCCAGCCATTGGTCCTTCCTTCAGTGTGGTGAGCTCTGAGGTGTTTTCAGCAATGTTTTTCTAAATCTGGAACAGAGTCTGTCTGTATATTCTTAAATTTCACTGACCTACTCTGCTATTTCACATTTGTCTCAGGAATCCACATACTGGGGTATGCTGTTAGCCAGGCAGGGTCGTAGTTCATGTGCATGATGTTCAGAAAGCAAATCTGTAGTCTTTTGTCCCTCAATAAAAGTCTAGAAATTGGGTTGCATGCTGTTTATTGCCGTGATAAATACAGGATCTTTGCAGCTTTCCCTCTTGGGCTCTATGGAAAGATAAGGGAACCATCTGCCAGTAGATGGCAGGTTGAACACATTTGGAGATCTGAATAGGTTGAGAGATTCTACTTATTTACTCTTGGCAAATAACCATACTCATAGCTGACTTTTCCATTTGTAGCAAGTCATTATTTCTACTGTTATTTATTACTGGAGTGAGCAAAGGTTCCACTGTGAGAGCAGTTCCTTGCTGTGCTCAGTATTGCAGGCAGTAACAAAACAGCCCTAACCCACTTTTCAGCCTCATGGAAGATGCAGCAAATGCCAGTGTTTGATTAGCTTCCTGCTTTGGTTTTGTGGCAAATGCTTTCAGCAGGTCTCTCTGCAACATCCCAGAACACATTCTGGCATCAGGGCAGTGACTGGAGATGCTGCTGCACCTGCCAGTGTCACTTCCCCCAAGCAGTGTTTGTGCTCTGGGTTAGGTGCCACATGCAGAGAGTGCACACAGCTGTGACCTTGTTTCTGCTGATCTGTTCACCTGTGGGTAGCAGTGAGGAGAGATGTGTTTGGCAGGCAGCAAGGGCAGGATTGATAGTGGTATGCCACAGAGCTGATTCTTCAAGGGCAGGCAGAGAGGGAAAGAAGCTGCTTGAAGATTTCCTGACCTTGTTCCCTTGCACTGCAGCCTGACCTTGTTCCCTTGCATGTCTCCAGTCTGACTGCCCTCCTCGTGATGACTCACAGGAAGGATGTTTCCCAAGCAGCTATTCCTTTCCAAGGGGTGCCTCAGCTGCTCTGTCTGGGCTTGGGTCAGGAGGACAGACCAACAACAATGTGTAGGAGTTAAAAGGATTTTACTCACATGTTTCATGTGCAGAATGGTGCATGGCTTGGGTTTCAAACCAAGCAGCCAAGATGTGAGCTTCTCCAGAAAGTTCACCTGGCATGAGAAACTACCAGAAAAAATGGTTAGGACGACAGGAATATAGCTCAAGTTCCACATTTACATGTGGAGTGTTCTCCCTGGCCTGTGTTTCTCCAGCCAAGTATCAGCACTCTCAATTCCATGTTTTTCTTTGGAAAGGATTTATGGTGTCTCTCTGCCATGCAGTAGTGACAGTGTTTGCAGTTGTGGGGAAGAGGACCTATAGGGTTCCAGGCACAAAGACAAGTTGCTGATGAGAATACTTGTGTAGGCTCCAGGGCAGTTCTTGGAGGAACATTTGCCAGGTTTGTCATTGATGAAGCAGTTGGGAGCTGTAGCCATCAATACTACTGGTTGAAACACTTCCAACTCCTGAGGTTTCCACAGCTTATGAGGGGACAAAGCAGCACTTGATTAATAATCCCAAGGGCTTTGTTACCCCATGTGCATACACAGCCCTTGTGGCATGGCTCTCCTACCTCTTGCATTCTTCTGCCCAGCTGCTGCAGGGTGTGACACAGCTGGGTCACTTGCTGGAGCTGTCTCTCCAAACACAGGTGCACACAGCTGTGGGGGAAGAAAAAAAAAATCAGTTGTTTGCAGTTGTCAGAGTGAACAACCACACATGTAGATGTGCACAGCAGTGTGTTTGCTGCTCACTGGGTATCAGGAGAGTGGACCAGGCTGCACCAGTTATCATTCCTCCATCCAGACCAGTGTGGCTTTGTCTGTAAATGCAAGGGCCCTTGCCTCCTCCACAGCCAGGGCATGCAGTATCCTGCAGATCCACTGTTACAATGTGAGTAAGTGAGCTCTTTGCAGTTCACATCAGCAGGAACAGAGAGAACTCTCATTCCAGGTTAGTGATGCAGATGACTGACAAAAATAGGGTTTGCCTGGCCAAGGGGAAGAGGCTGAGTGAGGCTGGAAGTGGTGTCTCCAACTTTGTCTACAGGGAATCTGAGGATTTTTTTAATCCTCAGATCACTTCCAAGTACCCAAGAGGGAAATGGGAAGGTGGTTCTCTTGCTCAAGAGGCTTAAAATGTTAAAAGCCGTTCACAACAGTTTAAGTTTGTTGGTCCATTAATTTAGTCCATTCTGAACACATGTTAGAGCTCCACTAGTATTTGAAGTGCAGAATATGTTCTTACCCAGCTGGGCCTCACCTACAGTTTGTGTTCAGTTTTCTGTCCTTGAGTGTACCCCCCATGCCAGGGATGTGCTGGTTCTTAAGAAAATTTTGCATATTTTTCACAAAATGTGAGTCCAGCAGTATAAAATGGGAGGAAAAATGTGGGGACAAGATTCTTTGTCCTGCCAGCCTCTTCTGTTTGTCTCTTGGAAGTATGTCTGGTAAAAGTGACCCACCACTGTTGCACTGAACATTTTTTAGCAGCCAGATACACTTGGATGTTTCAGCATTGCCTTGGGGTTACCTGCAGCATGAGAAACTCCCTGCTTGCACTTTAAATTCCTTAGTGGTAACTGAGTGGGAGATTCAGGCTGAAAGAGCTCCAGTAATGGCCAAACAGCTCCTTAGTTTGGCAGTGAGAGGCAGCATGCTGGGGACTGGGCAGTAACTCCCCTGTCACTGCAGCTGTCCCCAGAGAACGCCTACGACGTGCTGTGTGTGGCTGACATGTACCTGCTGCCCGGGCTCAAGCGCCTCTGCGGCCGGACCCTGGCGCAGATCCTCGACGAGGACAACATCATCAGCATCTGGAGGATTGCAAAGCTCTTCCAGCTGACCCGACTGGAGGACCAGTGCACTGAGTACATGGCCAAGATCATTGAGAAGGTACTGAAGCACTCCCCATGGCAGATACACCTGTGTCTGTGTATCTGAGCCGTAGAGACAACAGATTGAATGGTTGTACTTTGGTCTGTAGCTAATGGTTGTCCTCTCTGGGTTAATGTGCTTCCAGGAAATGAGCAGCAGTTCAGTAGCAAGGCACATGGTGAGTTAGGGCAGAGGAGGAGGAGTGGGGCAGTACCTGATGTCACCACAATAAGCCAGATTTTGGTCCCTGGCTAGCACGTCCCTGTGGAATATGGGTTGAAAAAGTTGCCCAAAAAGCTTTGCAGGTACCAGGAGCAGGTGATTTTCACTGAACTTTTAGCCACTGTGCCCAAGTAGCCATGGTGTTGCCTGAATACACCAGCTGCAGCCTGGAGAAGCCAAAGGGGTGAGTAGGAGAGCTCTGTGCAGGAAATAGAGTTTCTCCTTTGTTTTTCAGTGTTTGCTGGGGAAATTCTTCTTGGCATAATGCTCTAGATAGGAAAAATCAATGTAAACTCTAATCTCCTCCAGGATGACAAATCAAATAGTAGGGCTTTGCTCAGTGGATAATTTGCTGATGATCAGCAAGAAGTAATGAATTTAACTCTGAAGTTTTCTTTATGGGGCTCAATTTAAGTGTTATCCTGAGTGCTTATAGCTTAGACTCAGGACTTGTGGAGAAAGTTACCATATGGAGGATAAACCAGAACCTATGAAGGATTTTTATGCTGAGACATCTTTATAAATGGCTTGTGCAGTTCACATGGGAATGTAACATTTTCACCTGCAGCTCAAAAGGTGTGAAATTATTTTTGGTGTGAGAAAACAACAAAGGAAATCGTTCTGGGACTGTTACTTTGTTCAGTGTATAGCTTGGGAATGACATCAGCATGTACCCAGATTCTGGGTTCTGAAAAAGGATTTAAAAGATGTTCAATATCCCAAGTACTGATCAGGATAGGGCTTTGCTTGTGTGTTCCTCATTCTCTAGCTTGAGTGGGAGTCCTTGAACTTAGCATTGGCAGGGTTTCTTCTTAAGGGTGTTGGCACAGACAGAGCCACCCTAGCTGATGTTCAGACATCCGTGGTTGCCAGCATCCTGTGGCGATGCACTGATGGCAGCAGGGAGAGATTTTGGCAGTGTGGTAGCAGATCAGAGCTCAGCAACCTGCTGTGCCCAGGCACAGTTCAGCAGCACAGACAGATGGAAGCTGCCTCTCACCCCTCAGCTCACCACACATTCCTGGGGAACCTGGTGCAGAATCATTCATGGGTGACCCAATTCTGTCAGGTTGAGTGCAGAGCAGAGCAGCTGCCTTGCTGGTGGTGACAGGCCTGAGTCAAGGGAGTACTGTAACTTGTGGCTCCCAGTTCTGAATTGGGCAGAAGCACCCACTGGCTCCTGTGCTAGAAGACATTGCCCAGGTGTCTGGCAACACATCTCCTGGTTCCTGCTGGGAGCCTTTTTGGGGGAATGTCATGTATGTCCATGTGCCCCAGTACCAGAACCAGGGGTGCTTAGTTAGAGGGTGTTACAGGGCAATGTTGGAGGTGCAGATTACCTTCAGCTGGGACTGTTTATTGTTGGAATATTACTGTTTCCTTTGGATGAATGGCAGGATGCATCTCCAAGTGGAGGATTTGGGTCTCTGTGTATCCTAGCTTTCCTTTCTTTTCTGTGGGATCCTTTAACAGTGTCTGAGACCTTTATCCCAACCCTTTGCATCTTTTTATATGTCCTCTTGTATTCCTAATGGTTCTCTTGTCCTTCTGGTGCAGCTGGTGGAGCTGGAGGAGTTTGCAGCAGCTGTGAAGGAGAACGCAGAGGCCGTGGAGGAGCGGCAAGAGACTGACTCCATCCCTCTGGTCGATGACATCCGCTTCCACATCACCAGCAACGTGCAGACTTACAGTGCCATTGAGGAAGCCAACCAGAAACTTGAAGCTCTAGAGAACCTCCTGGCCAGCATAGGGCTCGAGTGCTGATGTGTGCAAACCCTGCCTGTCATTTGCAGCCTGCACAGCCCTCACTGCGTTGGCTCGGAGTGCAAGAACATCTGAGTCTGAATGTCCCACTCCCATTCCTTGTCCTCCTTCCCATCCACCTTCAGGCATGGTTTCTTTTTAATTTATTTGTGTCTGGACATTTGCATTTCTGGTTTGTGTTTGGTTTTACTTTTTTGTTTCTCCTTTCAGAAGTAGCTCCCAAACTCAGCCTAAGTCAGTAGCTGCTCCTTTGTACAATACACTGTGGAGAGGAGACCGTGAGCTGTTGGGAATGGTGAAGGAGCTGTTCTGGGGACTTCCTACTGCCTGGGGTTAGAACCCATCCCATTCTGTGGTTCAGTACAACACACTTCTGAAACTGGCTTATGCCAGCAGCAGAGGAAGAAAACTGGATTAAAGTCTTAATAAGTATATGGGAAAGGAGGTCATCACTGTTGCTGTCAGCATTATAGGACTGGCAGAACTGGGCAGTGCTTCCCTAATGGGACAGAGAGGTACTTGGCTATGTGGAAGGCACTGTCTTCACCTGCTATTTTAGTACTTAGATGGAAAAAAAAAACAAACAAAAAAAAAAGTGATTTCCAGGTCTTCCCTAGCTTTTCATTGCTTTGAAGTGCTCAGAATTTAAAAGCTTTGCTTTCTGAATAAGCATCTTTGGGAATACAGTAGAGACCAGAATCCTTCCATTCTTAGAAAGCAGTAGCTTTCAATGCACAAAAGAAGGAAGAGCAGAGCTCTTAAAGAGGGGATGGAAACACCTTCTTCTTGGAAACAGCACTTTTCCCTTTATTTTTGTCCACTGTGGTAGGGCAAGGCTGACTTGCTGGTGGGTCTGGGAAGAGGGGTCACTGGAAATCTCTTTCAAAAGGAAAGGGCCCTTTTGGGGCTCTCATAGGGCTGCTGTCCCACTCTGTGACCTTCTGGCTTTGCTCAGCCTTGAGCCTTGCAGCTTCATTGTTCTCCAGGAAATTCACTGTCTGTACTAATGAATGTTTTTGAATCTGTATTTTGCAGTAGGTCATGTTATCTCATGTTGTCTGCCTGGATTCTTAATGAGGGCAGTGGTGTTCCCTCTCCTTGGCACTAATCAGCAGGTGATAACCCTGCATAGCCTTGCCTTGCCAGATAGGCTGCCCTTGGAGCTGTGCTTCTCTGGAATGGTGTTGGGAGAGTCTCCAGGGTGCAGGCTGGGTGCACCTTCCCATGCTGTGCTTTGGGGGGAGGGAGAAGCAGCATTGAGTGAAGCACATGCACTGGGCTGCTGTGACCACCTCATACAATCATTTTGGTCAACTCCTGAGGCAAGAGCTTGAATAGACTGTGCCAGAGGTGCTTTTATTATGTGATGTGGGAGCTGGGCAAGGATCCCCTGCAGCTTTGGGGTGTTGTTTTCTGTAATGGTGGGGGTGCCTCTCATGGCTAAGGGGTTAGGAGATCTGGGGTTTGGCAGGGATTGTTTCAGGTGGGGATGCATTGGGAGTTTTTCTTTGCTAATCTCACCAGGTGAGAGACTGATACCCCACAGCAAGTGAGAGCTGCAGCCTCACTGGCTGTTCCTCTGCTGCACTGAAGCTGTTGGCAGGTGCATGGGCAGGCTCTGGGCACCACCTGCACCAGGCAGGCTGCACTCAGTTGTGAGGAGGGGACTCTGGGCAAAGTCTGGGAAGCCAGGCTTTGGCAAAATCATGAGTCAGGATTGAGTTGCACTTAACAGAAGCTGTGGATAGAGCTGGGGTAGGGGGAGCAGGGATGAGGTTCATTGATATAATTGAACCCCAGATGCTTGTGCACTTTGTCATCTGGGTTTAAGTGGTGTCTCTTGCAGATCAGGTCTCTGGGGCAGGGGATGGTGGTGGCAGAGCTATCAAGCAGTGTGGGCTTTGATTCTGTTTGAAAACCCTTGTGAAGAAGTGCAAGGAGTTGTTGTGGTTTGTTTCCTGCAGTCATATTAGGGTGAGGATGGAGGATGTGTCCCTCCACAGGAGTGGTTGCTGTATAGAAGCAGGAAGTAGCAGGAGTGTGCTTCTGTTTGGGACAGTGACATGGAGAGGAGCTGTGCATTTCCTGTGTGATTTGTGGAATGTACCTCCATGTTCACCTCTGAGCTCAGTGTGTCTTTGACAGGACCACCAAAGAGCCCAGCACAACTGATGAAGATATCCCCATGGACTTGGGGAGGGTGAAGGGCTATCAAGGAAGCTTTAATATGAAGTCCCATATATTTTGGAGAAAGAAGGGTGAAAGGAGAGCTGCTTGTTTTCTTACTGAGTGGAGTGTCAGGCTCATGAAAATCTGCTACAGAAACCAGCAGCTTAACTCAGTTGGTTCAGTTCCCCTATGTTTCTCCTCTGTATATGGCTGAAGATAGCACTGAACATAAGCAGGATGTTTAGTTTATCATATCTCTTCTCCTCCTCCAGCAGAAATTCCGCTTCTGACATCTTAGCAGTTGGCTTTGCACAGCAGCGGTTGTGACAGCCCACGGGGCTTGCACAGAGCCACCAGAGAACAGGACGTGGCCTTTGCCTTCTGCTCGTACTGAGCGAGATGCAGGAGCAGGATTATCAAGGAATGTGCTAATGCTTTTCTCTGCAGATGCCTCAGCTGCTAAAGCAAATGGACACTGGCAGTGGGCAAAGCAGGAGGAAGGCAGAGGGGGAGCAGCAGTGCTGGGAAGCATTTTCCATATGGCTGTTCTTGAATAATTCCATTCCTGCGTCCTTAAGTGTGGAGCGAGTGAGGCTGCAGTTGTACGTGTGGGAGAAAAGGTCAGCCTGGCCTTTTGATCTGCCTCCCCAGCAGTGCAAGTCCACGTGGGCTTCCAGGCAAATGCCTCATCTGTCTGTGTGCACTTAGTGGTCACATCTGTGAGGCCTGTCAGATTGTCCAATTACTCGGGATCCTCTAACTCCCCCCCATCCCTTTTGGCAAAATAGGGCTATCCAAAAGCATGCATAAGCAGATGGTCAGCATGCAGGCAAGCTCTCTAATTAAGATGAGCCAGGACAAATCTTAGATTTGAATTCACTTTATTCTTGCTGCAAATAATTTTATCACAAAATAAAAACCTTCTGATTTTTCTTCTGTTGCCAGTGTCCTTTCTGTGTTTTGTTGCCTCTGTCCTTTTTATTTACTACTACCCACTTGCTGAATCAAGAAGATTGTAAAATTTACTAGAGCGAGGTTATATTTAAGAAGAAATGTGTAAGCACGTGTGCAGCAATAAAATAGTCTATTTCACTATATCTGCTCTGGCTGTGGTGTCTTTGTTACTGACTGACAACATCAGCATGGGTTTTGTTTTGAAAGGGCTCTGTGGGCTCCTTCATTTTCCCTTACCCAGGCCAAGGACTGGCTCTGCACTCTGTGGCTCCCAAGTAGTGTGTACAGTCCTGATAGAACAGGTGAGTAAAGCACTAACTCATTTTTACTGTCTCCTTTCTCCAAGGATTTTTCCCCTTCTTTAGCAGCACCATGGCACAGGCTTGGTCACTGCCATGGTTGTTGTCAGGGAGGTGATGTTTGTCTCAGAAAATTGCTGTGGACTGTTGCTAACAGGTAAGTTGTCTTTCCCTTTCTCTTGCCATCTCGTGCCCCTGTCATTGATGGCTGTCTGTTGTATGCAAGGATGGAGATTTTTCAGCCTTTGTGTTTTGTGTTTAACTATTCTGACTTGTTCAGCTCACTCCTGGTGTTGGAAGCCTGTGTTTTCTCCCAGACTGTGACTGCTGAAGTGTCTGGCAGTCCTTCCTCTCTGAGGACACAGGCACCTTGTTTTTTGTCTGCTTTCTTGTATGCCTGGGTGGCTACAATCTTTTGGGTGAAGGCAATAGCTGAGCTGTCTGTGCAGCCCCTGTTGACTTCAGAGCATGACTGGCATTCAGGGAATGAGCATCCCTCTTGTCCTTGTTGCTCTGTGTAGGAACATGAGATTTTCAGAGAGGAGATACTAATAACATCTAAATGACTAATGCTGTTGAAGGGAGGGCTTGGAAAAGTTCAAGGCTTAATCACGTTTTTGGGACTCAACAAACAGCGCACACAAGGAGCAGCATTGTGCTGTGAGAGTAAAGGATGAGCTTCTGCAAGAGGCTGGAGCTGCTCAAGTTGTACAGTCATGGTCAAAGTGGAGATGGCACTTCCCACACAGCAGTTTGCAGTCAGTGTGAGTTGACAGACTTGTCTGCTCAGGGTGACATTGTTCTCCTCCCTTGCTGTGGACAGCCTGGCAGAGCCATCACAGCTTTGGGAGCTGGAATGTGTCTGTGCCCAGCTCCCAGGGATGAGCCATCCTGGCTAGAGCTGGTGATGGCAAACCATGGCTTGGTGTGGTTCTCTGCTCATGGTGTGTTGAGAAGCAGGTTTTCGTTTTACCTTCTAAGCTAAAATAGATTTGACAGAACAAATTTATTGAGAGGCCACACCAGCGAACCATTTATTATAGTTGGGGCCTGTTTTGAATAGAGGTGCTGGCTCTGCTGGGACTGGTGCCTGCCTTGAGGAAGTGCTGAGGGAGAAGGACAGAAAACCCTTTTATAGGCTGCAAATGGTTTCAAGGGTTTGGAGGTGGGTTATTGGCAATAGCCAAGGCAAGGGCTGCAGAGGGGCAGTTAATTAGGCAGCCACATTTGAGTGCAGCTATGGACATGCAGATCCTTCAAGCTTACATGTGATCAGCATCTGGGGCAAAGGGGATGAGCACACACATGCCCTTTGCTTTTCCTGGTTGTGGTTAACTTTGTAAGCATGAAAGTGCAGGACAAGCTTTGAAGGGCATTTCAGCAGATTAAAGAAAACCTTGGAAGAGAGTCAGTACCATGCAAACAACTAGCTCCAGTCCCAAGGGTCTGGCTGCCAGTTCCCAAAATAAGCTCTGAAAATGAGTGTGAGAGCTTTCCTCTCCCTCCTCCTGTTACCAGCAGAGCAAGCTCAAGGGGAAAGAGCAGGATTAGAAAGTGGGATTTGCTGGCTCATGGCAGCAGCAGTCTGCCTGCTCTGTTTGCTGGTATGGCAGAAGGCAAGGCTGTTGCTTTGGCGTGTTGGGTTGAGAAAATGAGCTGAAGGAAGTGCTGTGGTGTGGCCAGATGCTTCTGTTCAAGGGCTCAGGGAAGATTTGGTCCAAAATAACTTGATGTAGCTTTCCCATGGAGGAAACCAAGCTGGCCTGTGTTGCACTGTGATATCATTAAAACTCCAGGAAGGAAAAATGCCTCCCTCTTTATTCTTTTATAACAACTTTGTGAGCCAGAGTCATCCCAGTACTCTTTGTACAAGGCTGTGACAGTGATGAACTGTGTGAGACAGGCTGTGCAGACCTGCTCTAAAGGGGAAGGAAAGCTGGTGCGTTAGTTACTGCTCCTTGGGATGTGCTTTAGGAGATGCAGGCTGATCTTTCATATCAAGGCTGAGTTGACATTGTATCTCTCCTGTGTGCTCAGAAGGTTTTATTTTAACACATTCTTGGCAGCAGCATAGCAGAACTACCAATATTTCTATTAATTTTCTTAAGCTTGCTTCCGTAACAGAGGCAGCAATCTGCTCTCCAGAGCTCCTTCCTTCCCCTTTCTCCATGGATCTAAAACTAAAAATTGTCCAGGAGTTTCAAAAGGAGTTTGCTGGTGGCAAGTTCAATCTCCTTCCTGTTTTGAAAAGCTCTTCTTGAGAAGCTGAAAATGCTTCAGGTGAGTTGTTTTCTGCTGTGCTGTTCTCTGTCCTGAGTGCCAGTCAGGCACAGCATCTCCAAAGCTGTTCAAGGTTCTGGCTCTGGCCATGCTGCTCCTGGGGTGGCTGCTCCTTCTCTTGCTGGGGGCAGGGAACATGGTATTTCTTGTTTCCTGGTTTTGTGACCTTTTCCAATCAGGCATGCAAATAAACATCAATCTTCCCAATCTGAAAGCACACAGGGGTCAGTGCTTCTTGCTCTGCTGAGCACAGTGCTCGTGGTGCTGCAGTGAGGGGGCACATCAGGCATTTACTGGGGATCCAGCACTCTCCAGTCACACCAGGGCCGCAGGGCTGGGTTTGGCACAGACCAGCCTCAGCATGGGGTGTGCATCAGCTCAGCATGGGAGGAGAGGACTTGGTGTTAAAAGTGCACGGGGTGAACCCTGGAAGCTTTGATGTGACAAAGACAAGGGCTGCCCTGTGCAGCCCACAGGGAGAATGCTCACTGCTGTCATTTCAGCATGAGGCTGACCCTGCAGTCCAGCCAGAGGGAAAAGCTGATTTTTTTACTTTTCTCTGTATGGGGAATGTGGGTTGTTTATTTGCTAAAAAAATATCTGCTCCAGGGTTCACTGTGTCAGCCTGCAGAGAGCTTTGCTGGTGTTGCCATCTATTTTTTTTTTAATGTAAATGAAGACAAGATGCTGACACAAAGGCTGCTGACTTTGGGAGGTCTGGGAAGCCCTGCTTTTCCTGGGGCTCTGTCTCATGCCAGAGTTTACTGTGCTCTGGCAAGGGTTTGCTTGCCTTTGGTCATGAACCTTCCTGAGGTACCATTTGTCCTTTGCCCCTGAGCTGCCATTCCTTCCCCTGTGCCATTCTTGTCTCTGTGTTTTCTTAGAAGACAAGTGTTTTCCATGCTTGACATCTTGCCCTCCCACCAGCTCCCCCCCAGGCCAAGTAGCTTTCTTTGCCAGGTTCCCTTTGGATAGCACATATCATGCAATCTATCCAAGCTCTTAATTGATCTCTTAGGAATTGCTTTTCATCTAAATTCCTGGAATGTTTCCATCCACTGAAGAGTTTCCTCCAGAGAGAAGGGAAATGAATCCTGTGCCACTCCCCTGCAGGAGTGGTGGCCATGGGAAGGCTCTTGTTTGGCTTGTGCCTGTTGGGAGATAGATGTGGGTTCTGCAGTGTTTGCTCAGTTGTGGCTAAATCAGGCAGCAGTTTGGAGAGCAGCAGGGAGGTGAGGGGCAGCTCCACATCAGCAGCTTCCCCCTCAGAAGGAGAAAGAGCATCCCAGATGGATAAGCTGGGAGAGCATGACCCTGTTTCTGTGTGCAAAGGAGTGTAGCAGGTGCCAGGCTGCAGTGTGTGTGGCACCCCTGGTCTCTGGTGGTGTGCTGGCACCTGCACAGCCCTTCAGCTCCATCTCCCTTTTCCTGTGCTGGAATTCTGCCTGAAGCCAGGCAGGGTGGAGAGGTCCCTGCTTACCCCCAGCATCAGCTCTGCAGTGGGTGCAGCCCCATTGCTCCTTCCTGTGATGCTTCACCAGCTGCAAATGGAGGTGAAGCACTGTGGGTTGTGTGCTGAGCAGATCAGATTGTAAATTCTTCACCATTCCCTGAAGCTGCAGCCTTTGCCTGCTCAGTGCCTGAGCCTGGCCTGGGTGGTGCCAGAGGCATGGTCCCTGCTGCTCTGTGACTGAGTATGGCACCTCTTGTCTTATGTGCCAGGGGTGATGCAGGCTCTGTCCTTGCTGGAAAGGACTCCCAAGGAGCTCTCCCCACACCCTGACCCTGCTCTGGCTCCTGCTTTACCATTCCCTGGCTGATCCCCAGCTGGGAGCTACCCCCAGAGCCAGCCTTGGATAACACCAGGCTGAGGGAGGAGGAAAAGGCAAAAGCTTCAGGGTTCCTACAGGATCACAGTAGAAGCACAGGCTAAAAACAGGAAGGCCACCTATGGCTGTGACAGCTCAGCAGCCGTCAGCTGGTGACACTGGGAGAAGTGCACACTACCAAAAGGGCTCCTTTGTGCTGCTGCTCCCAGCCTTGTGCAGGACTGTCCCCTCCCTCCTGTGCTCAGTGCCTGTCCCAGCGCCATGGTGAGCACCCTCCAGTGACCCTCAAAACTGTGCTGAGCTTAACAAACCACCAAAACATCAGAAGAAAGAGCTGTGCACTTGCCTGAACTGAAGCAAATGTTGTTACTAATGATGTTCCTTACTAGCATGGTGTGCTTGGTGAAAAGCCCCAGCTCTGTTGTCTGTGTTGATGGGCATCAAAGCCCTTGGCCAGAGCTGGTGTGTGATCAGACACAGAGCCTGCACAGGACTGCAGAAGGCAAATACTCTTCTCTCGATTTAGGGACTGGAGGCTTAAGGAAGATGAAATGAGTTGATGAAGGCTGCAGGTTGGGTCTGGTGCTGCTGATGGCTCTGCCCCGAGGGCTGGCATGGGAGCAGCCTGTCCTGTCTGTGCCCTGCTGCAGCAGCTGTCACAGAGTTTGGAGTGTGAGTGGCTGGGGAGCCTTACAAAGTGAATTGTCCTGAAATGTGAATAGAGGGGAGAGCAGGAGGGGACCTTGAGGCTGCTCTTTGGCCCAGCCCCACTCTCTGGGCAGGTGGGCACTGACAGCACCAACCCTGGCTCTGCATGGACCAGGAGCTCTTACAGCCTCTGGGCACTGCCTGGGAGCTGAGAGCATCAGAGCCAGCCCCAGCCTGATCTGCAGCCACAGCTGGGGTCAAAATGTAGGATTTAATCAGCAGTTACTCCTGGCCACAGTGCAGATGCTTCCTGTTGGAATTGGGTTTAGTTCAGGACCAACATCATATTTGTAATGGGTTTCTAAAAGCATGGGAGCCAGCTGCTGAAGCAGGCTGAATTTGCCTGGTACCGCCTGTCCTCCAACAGCTCCACACTGCTGTTTGATCTGGGCTGTGAGAAGCACTTTGGTGTGGTCACCAATGACACCCTCAGACACACTCTGTTCAGAAAACATAACTTTATTATTAGTTGCAATATACATTGTATTCCTTTAAGAATCCTAAACTTGTATATGGTTTTTCCACTGAAAATACATGTGTATGTATATATGTTTTTTATATATGTATATATATATATATATAATGTATTTTATTGAACTGGAACACAACAGAACAAGAGAGACAACCTCAGGAATTACTTGTAAAAGGAAACGTGATCCCAAGGGGTTTGTGCTGGCAGTGTGCTAAGGTGAGTGGTATAAAAAGGACAGGCTAAATAGAAAACAGGGTGGGTTAGGCAGTGGGAAATGGCCTCTCAGTGCTACAGGTGGTGAGATATACAGTAGTTACACGTTGCTATTGCTCAGTCACGGGTGCCACCTGTTCTCCAAGGCAGAGCAGACTCTGGTGCAGCTCTGCACAGCAACATTCGTAAGGCTGGCTGTGCTCCCTGCCAGTGGTACCTGCCAGCTGGAAACAGAGTGTAATTACATTTCCCTCAGCAGCTGCTCTGCTCATTGCTAATCTGGTCAGCCAAGGAAGAATTCCTCCGGGGCTTGGTGAAACCTAACTAGGTCAGTATAAAGGAGCTTACAGGCAGGGAAGGGGATCAGGAACAGCAGAGAGAGCTGGAATGTGCAGATTGCTGTCTCACCTGGCCCAGGCTGGTTTGTTCCTGGCTCCTTCCCTCTGCACTCGTTTCCCCACCTGCCAAGGGGCTGTGGCCCCTCTGCTCAGCAGCCAGCCCGGGGTCTGTGGGGTCAGCACAGGCAGTGTCAGCTTCTTTTGGATAGGTTTCCCTGTGTTAATTGCTCAGAAGGTAACTCTTCAGAAAACTGGCTGAGGGTGGCAATACCTGCTGCTGTGCCATGGCTTTTGGGGTCATTTGGCTTTTTTGTTGTTGTTGTTGTTGCTGCTCTTTGTAGGTTTTGTGTGTAAACCTTTTTTTCAAACAGCCTCCCCAGGCTGTGTGCCACTGCTGAGTTGAGCTATAGACTGAAAGACAAGTCTTCCCCAGATCAATGTAATTGGTTTCCCTTTATTTCTGTTCAGCTGCAGATGTTTCTTGGGTGAAAGGACACGTTTTAGCAAAGGCACTGACAATGAACGTTCCTCTGCCTGAAGCCAGGTTGGAGGGAGCAGAGGGGCTCTGACCCTTCTGCTGAAGGGTCACTTCCCTCTCCCCTCCTGCAAAGTGCTTGTCACTTTGGAAGGGATGTAAAAATTGTGGGCATTGATTTACTCCTCCTGACTTCCTCAAGAAAAGTGCTTTCAAAAATCCTATCCTTAAATCATCATCTTGCTACTACCCCCGCAACGTCTGTCACCTCTGGATCACACCCACTTGTTTCCCCTTCCCCCTGAAGGAGCAGGTGAGATTTATCACTGCTGGAGTGTTTCTCTTCTTGCAGTCTTTCTCTAGCAGCATCTGGCCAGGAGGGAGCTTGCTCAGGCAGCAGAAGTTGCCTCAAGCCAGGCTGCTGGAAGATGGAAAGTAGTTGCCCTGCTCATTGCTCCTTCCCAGAGTAAGTGTCACCAGAGGTTTCGCAGGGGCTGCTGAGAACAGCCGATTGCACTGGAATAATATTTCAATTAAAAGCTAACCTTGCTGGGAGAACTACAGCTCTTTCCTCTCTTTAGAGGCAAGAAAATACAAATGCCAAAGTGCCTGGATCAACCTGTATAAAAGAGCTTCCCTGACTTGGGCCCCTTAGGGCAACTACAAGGATACAATCTGCATCCGCACGTCTTTCATCCATCCGTGCTGCTGGGACTGAATGGGACTGAGCCCTGATTCTGACTGTTATTGCACAGAGGTCCTTTCCTGAACCTTGCTAGAACTGCTTCCCAAGGGAGAAGAGGTGGGTGCCCCCCTGCCTGTCAAAGGAGGGATCCAGCCCTGGGACAGCAGCTCAAGGCACAGTGCTTGGTGCTTCTTGCTGCTGCCAGGGAAGGCAGTAAGGGCTGGTGTGTCCCTGGGGGAGATGCCCCACTCTCTCATAGTGCAACATTTGCATTCTCTTCTGCAAAAGCAGAGGGAGAGGTGCAGGTTAAGCCCCTTCCCTGTGGATAATGCCAAGAAGTATATTCATGCCGAGGCCATCACGCTGGATAAATCAGCCTGCACAGCCACTCTGCCATCACTGTGCAGCTTTCACTGTGCCAGGACAATGGCTCTGCTCTCATCCAGGGTCTAAACTCTCTCCTCTCACCCTGCTGCTAGCAGAGACTCAGGCACCTCAAGAATTTGCCTTACCTGTCCACAGGCTCCTCCAGAGCAGCTCGTTCTGTGTTCAGCAGGGTCTGTGGATGCCCAGCACACAAGGTACAGGTGGGATGGATGGATGGATGGATGGATGGATGGATGGATGGATGGATGGATGGATGATGATCACAGTCCTCACTCTGCCTTCAGTCCCCACATGTCCTGAAGGGCTGAGCTCAGTGATCCACCCCAGTGCTGACTGGGAGGAGGCTGGGATGGCCTTGGACAGGATCTCTGCTCATGCTGTGGGGGCTCCTGCTAAACCAGTGGACCATGAGGACACCCACTGCTACTCCCCAGCCACCAGATGCTCTGCACTTCTCTCTAGCATTATTTTCAGGACATTTTCCAACTGATGAAGGAAAACAACAGATTATGACTGTAAAGTTATGGTGAAAGGACCGGATCCTGGTAGGACAACATTGTTCCTTGCCAAGAGAAGGAATGATTAACTCCTCCTTTGCTCTCCTCCCATTTCTTTCCCAGCTTCCAGCCAACTCTATATCATATATTATATTACTATATTCTCTTATAACTTTGACTTTGCTTTTTCATTTTCAGTAGCACAAGTGATTAATTCCAAAAGGAAAAAAGAAAGGAGAGTTAAAAAAAAAAAAAAAAGAAGAGAGAAGGAAAAAACCCCTGACCCTAGGGATATTTACAGAATAGTTAATCTTGCAGAGGAGATGGGGTTTGACATGGGGAAAAGCAGGGGAATTGAATGTGCTAAGTGGGTTTGATTCCACATTCCTGCTCTTCCCTCTGGGATCCTGCCTGGATGATGGAAATCAAAGCACTGTTCAACGTGCTTTCCCCAAGTGCAAACTCGCAGAGGATGTGCAGGGTGGTGGGGGAGGCATTTCTGTCCCCTGGCCTGGTCTGATTAAAAAGGTAGTATCCAAAGGGGTCTGATCTTGAAAATCAGCCTTTCAGCTTCAGGGAGCTGTCAGCTCCATCTTCAGCCTCTCCTCGTCACCCAGCACCTTTGTTAGTGCTCTCCTCTCAAGGACCAGGGTTTTTAAGGTGCTGGATGGTGGGGACAAGGGACGCACCTGGCATCAAAACCATGAAGTGGAAGATACTGATTTCTTTTACATACCAATAATTATTGCAGTATAAACACACCCCAGTCACCGCAGCGAAAGCAGAGAAGGGGAAGCTGTGGAGAAAGTTTGGTGGGCGGGGGGCACGCCACAGCTATCAACTCTTCTCCAGATTAGGGCAGTGGCCATTTACATCAGCAAATAATGCCCCACCCTGTGCCTCTCCCCCCCACCCTCCCTTAAGCTGTGTGTGATAAAATATTCCAAGAATCCCTCCATGTTAGATCTTTTCCCAAGAGATTTCTAGTAAGAAAAACATCTATTCCTAGAAAACCCCAGTAAGAGCTGCAAATGCTATTGCTCTTAGGTATGGCTGGTTTCCCCAGCTGCTGAGACCTTCTGGCCAATCCATGTCAGTATTTCTGTGAAGACAGAGGTAGAGACCTCAGGCAGCTCTTTGTGGAGGGCATGATAGGCTTCCTCATACACCTGCAACCAGGGAGAAGTACAGATCAGCACAGAAAAAAATAAATCTGCATGAACAAAACAGCCTTCAGTCCCCTCTCATCAACACCCACAGGTCCAACACCTCCTGCCCACAACTTGTCAGGTTTTTTCCAAGATGCAGCAGGTTATGAAATCAAGGAGATGCCACTGGTGGTGCTGGCCCTCAACAAGCAGGAAGGTGTTGACATTGCTGCCTGCCTGACATCTGTGGGTACCAGAGCACCCTGCTGCCCTTTAGGAACATAATGCATGTCCCAGCCCCATTCCACTAGGGAGGAGGAAATACTTATCATGCCCTTGGAATGTAAAGGACAATGGGGGATGTTCCCATCATGCCTTGTGCAATTTTACTCCTTTTATGCTCAGACTATCCAGTTATTTTTCCGATGACAAAAGCTTTCCCTTGGTCTCCCTCCCTTTTCTTTCAGGTTTATTCATGTGCTAACAATTGGTTAATCAGCTGTGGTTCTCTTGAAATGAGCAGATGTGAAGTGGCTTTTGTTGTCCAGCATTTTGGAAAGACCTTCCTGCACCTTTACATGCTGGGACATGAGGTAAGGCTGGTGCTCACACAGTTGGCATTGTTCAGAAGAGCTTTTTGGGTCAATGCTTTACCTGCTCAGACACTTGCTCTACTTCCACACCAAGAGGGAAGGCTAGGGCCAGGTTTTTAGATAGTTGGGTGGTTGGGGTGAATGTGTAGGGTAGCAGCCCTAGAAGGTTAATGAGTAGGAGGAAGATTATGAGGGATGTTAAAATTAGGGCTCATTTGTGTCCTTTTTTGTCCAGGGGCATTATTAGCTGTTTTGTAACTAGATTAATAAATCATAATTGGAGGGTTGAGAGTCGGTTAGCGATTCATCGATTGTCTAGGGATGGTAGTAGGAGAGCTGGGAATGTTATTGAGATGATGATTAGTGGGATTCCTAGGAAGGATGGGCTGAAAATTGGTCAAAGATGCTTAAGTTCATGGTCAGGTTCAGGGGGTAGTGCTTGGAGTGATGGGTGGCTTGCTAGAGGGGGGATTTATTGATACGAATGACAGAAGTTTGGGTTGGATAATTAAATGCTTCATGTCCAAGACACCCTTTAGTCATGCAGCCACCATCCCCTGCCCCCAGGCAGGCTGTAGCTGGTGAAAGGCCACCACACTGAGCCCAGGGAGGGCTGAGCTTGGGCTGGTGAAAGGGGCTGTCCCCTGCCCAGCCTCCCCCATGCACCAGCTCTGTTTGCCTCCATCTCTCTGGAGGCCAGCAGCTCCCACCCCTCACAGCCACTCACGCTCACTCCATAATCTCCTAGAAACCAAGAAAGCAGGATGACCTTGAGTGTTTTGTCCTGGCTCTGCACGGTGTCCATGAGCAGGTAGGAGCCCCTGATGTCGCAGAGCTTGTCGGAGGAGCCGTGTAGCACCAGGATGGGCAGGGTCAGCTTGGGCAGCGCGCGCTCGATTCTGGCGATGGCGTTCATCAGCTGGATGACAAAGGACACCTTCATGCCGCCGTGGTACACCAAGGGATCAGATGTGTACGACTCCATCTGGCAGGGAGAAAGAGGTGGTTTGAGATTAGCAGTATTTCATGCATAAGAGAAAAAGCAGGTCAGGCTGGCAGTGATGAGTCTTGCCTTGGCTTGCACGGTCATTCCCCACTCTCTCAGGACATCCGGCCATCAGAGTCAGGGGTGAGGTACTGTGGTTTACCAGCATCACTCACACAACCTGACATGCTCTTTGCTGCATGTTTCCTTCTTACATACAGAAAATATTCAAGCCAGAGCTCTTTGACAGGAGCTCCTGCAGGGAAACAACCAGTGTTGGACAAAGACCATTCCCACAGGGAATGCCTGCCTGCATTCTTCTCCTCTGCTGTGCCCTTCTGTCATTCCAATGTGATATCTCTTCTACAGAGATATCTCTTCCTCAAAGTGTTTTATTTGAAAGCTAATGTTCTCCAGGCCAATTGAGTCTGCTGAGGGCTCAAATGTTCTATTTCCCTGTCTGGGGGTGGTGGCCACGACCTACACCTCCAGACAGCTGACAGAAGTGACTGCAAAGCCAAGGGCTCATCTCTGGCTGCAAAGCGTGACAGACAAGGCAGCAAATGATGGCATTAGGTGGTAGGCAAAAAAAAAGTAGTCAACAACTTGCTCAGCCAGATTGTGAGGGGATAAAAATGCTCAAGAGCTGGTACAGAAAGTTGCTAGGATGGAGTAGTTACTGCAGCAGGCAAATCTACAGTAAATATTTGTATACTGTATGTGGAGACGGCCCACACAGACCCCACTATTGCAATATTTTCCAGAATGCTTTGATTATGGGCTGGTCTCTGGCACAGCCTCCACTTTCTCCCAACCCTGGCAGATGTTTATAGAAATTATGGTTATTTATAGGTTAGCTGAAAACAGTCTCCTCCTCTCCTCACAGGCACTGGGGTCTGTTCAAATTCTACCTTGAAGGCTTTAACTTGAGGTGCTTTTGCTTCTGCCTGTGCCTGCCCTGAGGGGACCATGGGTGGGAGGTGACCCAAGAGGCCACCCAAGGACACTTAGCCATTTGTAGGGGCTAAGGTAGGGGTAGCACAGGCAGGCACTGTAGGACGGAAAGGTTTTGGGGTGGATTCTGTCTTCAGTTCCCCGTGAGATGAGATTCTCAGGGTGGCAGAACATGGTGGGGCTTTCCCACCTGGATGCATTCACTTGCCAGAGGGTTTGAAGCCAGTTTCTCCTGTTGTCCTCTCAAATGTGCTAGAGCACAAAACACTGGAAATGGAGGTGGCAGTGGCACCCTGATACTCACAAGTCTTTCCCCATAATTTTCTTCCTTCCAGTCCCCACAATCTCCCACTGCTTGAAGCCATGGCTCCTATCCCTACATGCAGCAAGAGAAAGATGTGGGGGGAAATTTGGGACTGTTAGTGGCTGACACCACTCAGAGCCAGCCCAGAGTACTGAGGATGGTCCAGGGAGGGTCAGCTGTACAGCCACTCCGCTTTGTGTTGGACTGAAAAAATTCAAGTCAGAGAACTCACTTAGGGATCCTTGGAAGTGGTGGATGTTTCTAGGATTTGATTAAGGCTATTGTTGTATTTTGGTCTCTGCAAGATTATGTCTGCTCTGAAGTGAGGGGTAATTTTTGGCAGGGAGACAAAGATAATCATCACAGCTCATCATATTAGGATATTACACACAGCATCTCCCTTTCAAAGAAGTATGTGCTTGCTGAAGGTCTGGAAAACTGCTTGTAAGAGGCAACTGCAAAGATGAGACTGTGGTTAAGACATTGGGACATGGTAAGCATCCTCTGCTGCTGCTAATGGCCCTGGGAAGCAGAGACTGAACAGCTCACAGCCCTTTTGGCTCTGCATGGACCATTCTGCTTGCTGGTGCAGAAATCTCCATCTGCATCTTACATCCCCTGCACTGTTCAGCTGCACCTTCCCTGCTCTCCAAAGTCTTTCAAACAGGGCAAGAAGCTGCCTGTGTTTGGAAGAAATTGTTCCCTTGTGAATGTGCTCATGGAAGAAGTTCAGCTTTGACCTTCAGAACACCAAGGGCCTGGTGGGGTGCAGCTCACTCTCCTGTTGGCAGCTGGGTCCACCCTGGTATGCTCAGCCAAACATGGGGACCCTCATCAGCTTTTTGAGCAAAAAAAGTGTGAATTGGCTATTTAGCAACTGGCTTCAGCCTAATCTGGACCTATGTCACAGTGCTGTGCTAAAGCAACAGAGTTTTGAAATGGTTTTAATATTTTTTAGTTTGGTGGGTTTGTTTGGTTGAGTTTTTTAATTGAGTGTAATAAATAAGAGATTTTGCAGCAGGGATTCAGGAGGGATAGGTGGATGGACTGACAGAAGGTCCCTTCCCATGGAGTAAAAGAGTGTTGATGAATTCACGTGAGCTGACCTCATCCCCAGCCCCATAAATGCTACAAGAATGACCTGAAGGGTTTCTTCTTTCTCTTGTTGTCTGAAAGAATGGGGATTTTTTAGCTACTGAGCAGCCAACAAATATTTTTGTGTAGTGGATGGCAGGAGAAAAAAAAAAAAGACCAAATCCAGTCCCAGCCCAAAATGATCAGGAGTGCAGGGGCAGTATCCTGTTCATAGTCAGTGAACAGGAGTCCCTGTCAGAGTTAATGCTCAGTGATGGGGTGAGTGCCAAGCAGCAGCTCTCTGGGGAAGGAGGGAAGAAGGGAATGGGCTTCATGTTTGGCAGGCTACAATCTGCAAACCCTGCAAGCCCAGAACTGTTGTTGCTGCACCAAGCTCTGAGATAGGGGCAAGAACAGAAGGTGATCCCAGGAGAGCCTGTGACTGCTCCAGACACTGCCAGGCAAAGGCTCTCCAGGGTCCCTCACAACAGCTGCTTTCATCCTTATGTAATTCCAATACAGAAGCAACCATCAGGTTGCTGCATTGCATTGACCTGTTTAGAGGTCTGCATCTCCTCTTGCAGCCCCATCCCATGTGGGCTTGGCAGGAACAAGGCTTGAATCAGGGGGACCATTCCACTAAATCAACAGCAGCTAACAAAGATTACAGGGGTAAAGAGGCTCCTGTCACTGTGATGTCATTCCTCTTTGGAATAACAGGACTGGTTTTTAAGGTTGCTTCTTGCTCTCTTTTTTCTCTCTTGTGTTTGGTACAGCAAACATCAAACAAACATCTCTGCATCATTCCATATTTCAGTCCCCATAGCCTGAAGACGGCTTTCTGGGAACACAAACTCATTAGGAAATTCTTGGATGTTGTCCCAAAAATATTTCTAGTGAATAGAAAGCTGGTCTGGCAGGAGAGTATGTGTAAGATATAAATAATGGATGTTTCCAGCACATTGTGTGCCTTAAATCTGAGTGTCTTGAATCCAAAAGGAGGGTGGGGTGTGCTTAGGGGCAGGCAGAGGACCAAAATGCTGTCTTGTCTTCAGTAAGTGCCTGGGCCCTGGTGTCTGAAGGGGGTCAGGAAAGTGCTTTACATCACTACCCCCAGCTGCTATGTCAGCTGTGTGCTCAGGTGCAGGTGAGAAGGCAGCACAGCACGCAGGGAGTCTCATTTGGAAAACATCTCCATTATGGGCAGGCTCTGATGAAGCAGAGCTACACCTTTATCCACTGCAAAAGGCTCTCCCTTGCTCCATGGAGAGGGAGAAGGCAGAGCAAAACAACGCTCCAAGGAACCTTTAGAGACTTGAAGCATCACAGAACAGACCAAGCAGCAGCAAATACGTGGTTAGAAAGACAACACAATTGCAATTATGATAAACTATGTCCAGTGGTTGCTGTGGTGACTCCTACCATCACCACAACACGGAAGTGCTCAGTCAATGCTGTGTGCCAATTTCAGGAGCTCTCTGACACTTCCCTGAATGCATTATTATTATTCAGGATGTCCCTACATCATCACTTTTCTCCTACAAAGCTATCGAGTGCAGCAGTTGCATCTTCCAGCTCTTGGAGGTGTATTTAAAATATCTTTAAATGTTTTAAATTGAAAACATCCTTTAAATGCAGCTGCAGCAGAGTTCAGGAGTCACATAACAAATCAGAGCAGAGGCAGGTAAAGACCCACAAGTCACAGACATGCTCACTCTTCAGGTAGGGAATAAAGCTCTCCAATCCCTCTCCCCTCCAAAGCACTGATTGCTTTTATCCTCTAAATACAAATGTAGATGTGAAAACTTTGCTCTGTGCCATTTTAGAGAATAGATTGTCTAGTTTAAACCTTTTCTCTGAATTATATGCAACGAGTTATGGCAGCTGAATGCAATTAGGAACAGGTTTCTACAGCTAGATTGGAGTTCAGCCTCCTTCCCAGGCATAGATTTTGTGCAGCCTCATCTGGTGCTTTGGAGCATATGTCACACGGTGCATCAACGGATGCACATGATCTCACTCCACACTGGTCCTGTCTTCTTTTCCTCAGCTTCTTGGATCTTTCCACCTCCAACACAGTGAAATCTTATGCTCTATTCAAGGATAAGTGAACTGAAAGTCATTGGAACAAAAACCCCTCTGGCAGTGCCAAGAAACAACCCTGAGCCTTGAAGCTATTCTGGGAAACTCTTTGCTTTCCAGTTTTCTGAATAGGTGAGCCAAAGATGTGGGAGGTGCTGAGGCCAAATGCACTCACACAGGTGCTGGCACTGTCTTTGCCCCTGATCCTTTCAGCTTCAATTCTAATGCTGGTCAAGCTGCCCTCCCAGAGAAAGGCAATTTATTAATTCCTAGTTAAAGTATGAACCATTGCATGAACAGCAGGGAAAATTACAGCATCTGCCAGTGAGATGTGAGCATGGGAGCACAGGAACAAGTCACCACTTTGCACCAGCAAAGTTCTTGAGACACCCTTGAGTGCCATTTTCTATAATTCAAGAAAAAATGGTGCTTTCTGAAATGCACTAAGTTCTGTGTCTACCCTAAGCACCTTCATTCACTTTTAATAATGACATGGTTTGTGATTATCTCCTTTCTCTCCTCCCACAGTGGTGAGAAGGAAAAACCCTCATTTGGTGGTGTTGCAGCAGTTGCAGCTACACCTGTTTGTGCAGGGATGGCACGGACAGGCTGACACGGTTATCACCAGCAGTGGGTGGGAGTGAGACAGTCCCAGGCTGTTGTGGCACCATAAAAACTCAAGCCCGGGACAGTTCCATGCACATTCACAGTGGTGAGGCTGGAGCTGTGTTGTTACAACAGCTGCTTCAGTTCCCTAAAGTATTATTCTTGGGTGCAGCATGGAGATATAATTTGTTTGGAAAGGCTGTAGCAGAGTCAGTGTGATCCAGGAGACCTTGGAACAAGTTCTTTGGTTCACACATGTTCTTGTCCTCTGCTTGAATGCATCTGGCATGATGTGATCCTGGTTTGGAAGCAGGAAAACCAATCCCCAGGACTGCAGGGTTTTGCATGATTTCACTGCAAGGACCAGGGGTGGAAAAGTTGACTTTAGCAGTGTGGTTGCTACCTGAGCTGGGTTTTGCTGCTGTGGTGGTGCAGCAGAGACAAAGATGTGGCTCCCACGTGCTTCCCCCTGCAGCTGTAGCTCTCTGCCATGTCTGGTACCCAGAGCAGCTGTGGGTGCAAGGCAGGGGGGAGCAGCTGGTTCCCCACAGCCTTCTGTGAGCAGCCAGTTCCGCTGGCTTCAGGGATATGTCACCTTTCTGCACCAGCACAGGTTCTGCCCTCCTGATTTAGCAAAACACTATTGGGTTTTTCTGAAAGAAAAATGGCAGGACCTAGACAAGATATATCAACTGTGCAGTGAGTTAAAATGGCATTAAGGTTCTCACCTCTTTCTTGTTCCGGGAAATTGCACTTGGATCTATGGACCCCAGTGAGAGGTTTGGGAGCACAAAGTTGAGCACTTTTGCTGCAAAAACCTGTGGGAGAGAAAAGGAAGCAGTCAAAGAGCCAGTTAGAGGAAGAGAGGGAACATAGAATCCCAAATCCTGAGATGATGAAAATCAGCACAGGAGTTAAACAGTTGAGAATTGTCAACTAACTCTGGAGAAAGATCTGTCCTATATTTAAACCATTTCTCTTAACGAGGAAAGTGTTTCAACTGCTCCTGGGAGCAGGGAGTGGGTGTGCTAGACTGAAATGCTGTCAGCTGTCCATCCACATGCAGCAGCACAACTTCATTGTGCTGGGGCTTTTCCTCATTCTTCAGTTAATTTCTGAAAGGCCTCAGCTAAGTACTTTAATAGGAAAAGGCTGTTTGCAGCTCTTAGAGGGCTGGGTTTTGGTGTTTTCCTGCCCTTTCCTTGCTGCCACAGCTCTGCTCTCAGGCTGCAGTGCATAAGTGATGCTGGGTGCCATTTGCAGCAGTTGCCTAGGCTGCACTCATTTTGATAAGCATATTCTCCAGGGAACCTGTAAATAAACAACAGCCAAGTGTGCATGCATTGGCTAAGGGAATCCATTGCTCACACGTCTCCTGGGAACCACACACAAAAGCACTGAGCAGCCTGGGCTGGAAACTGCTGCTAGAAGAAAGGGTAACATCTTTTATTTCAATAGCACTACAAGCACATTGATATCAGAGTTCTCTGATCTTTGATAGCTGCCTTTAATTAAGTGATCACTGCTTAAGTGAGAAAATATACAGTGAGTGTTCATTGGTCTGGTTTGTGGAGCTGTGGTGTTCACTTGGAGGTAGGCTGTCCCCTATGCCCTCTGTTTCTGCAGATACCTAACCATTTCTGAAGCACTCCCTGGCACTTCAGATCACAGATGACACATGACAGATTAATTATGATATTAGGGGAATAACACAAGGTTGAAGTCAAAGTCATTGAGGAGGGAAAAGCAGTAAAGGCTCACAGCAGGTTTGGGAACACGTGTGTACCTTGGGGTAGACACGAGCAGGAGCCAGTGTCACTGCCAGTACCCTGAGCCCCTCACTGGCTATGACATTGTGCCAGCAAAGTTAAATTTTACTACACAACAATGCAGGCATGAGCTTATGATTATCCAAGAAGGAATGGGGTCTTCCTCATTTCATGTTAACTCCAGGCAGTGGTGATTTAAGCTATGCACCTTCAGATATCCTAGGCAGGATTATGACTCTGAACCTGATGATTATCATCTCTGCTAACAGAATAAAGGAATAAAGCAACAACAACAACAATAAAAATCAATATAGCATTTTCTTTCCGTTTGATTACACCTTAGGAAAAGTCCTTTGCAGTGTTACTGGGTGCAGATTCAGGCTGAAAGACAGTGAGCAACGTGATGTCCAGTCAGGTTAGAAAGCAAAAGATCAGCAAGAGGTGAAAACACTAAAAGTAAAGAGACAATATCATGTAGTGAGTCCTTAAACAATAGGCTGAGGGTCAGTACAGGATTAGGCACCAGGGAATATTTCCTAAGGGGATGTCCTGCCCACCTGATTTCAAAGCATTCAATAGCAGAAATGTAGAGGGAGATGCTCTTTCACCCCTGCTCTGCCCCTTGCCAGCGTATGTGACTCCTGTCTCTGCAGCCTTTGAAACTGCAAAGACTCAGAGCTGAATTTTGTCCAGGTCACTTGAGAAGAAAAGGGGGAAGGCAGCAAGATCCCTCTCACAAAAGTGGATTTGCAACTAGATGCTTCCATCAGGACACAGGATTTATAGGGCACTGATGAAATAGCTTCTGCAAAGAGCAGCATTAGATCTCCCTGCACAGAGCCTGCACAGTGCTGTGCCTCTGCTGCTGCCAGGCTGGCTCAGCAGCCAGGGAAGGTATTTCTGAGAGGGTCTGAAGGACCCAGTGTGTCATCTGGCTCGCTGTTATTGTTATCTTGAGCCCTCATTTGTTCAGGCCAAGGTAAATTCTTGCTCAGCTGGAAACTTCCCCAGCAAAGGGATGAATGCAGCGGTCCTTGGGAAATGGCCCAGGGCTCAGAAGTCGTACCAGTTCCAAGGGAAAACCAAGCCTTTGTTCCTCAGAAGCACAATCACCATGAAATGTTTTTTGACTCTCAGAGGGAAAAAGCCACACAGCTTTATGGGAAAATGTGGCTTATGCAGGAATACTCTGCTTGTTTTCAATCCTTCCTCTTGCAAATACCTTTTCAACTCCCGAAATGATTTCAACTGAGTGTGACAGAACAGAGCTATTTCAGGCATAATTAATTTTTTATCAGTGTTGAGATGCAATAGATTTGAAAGAGAAAGAAACTGACTGTGCTTTTGTACTACTGCATGTGAGAGACTTTCTAGGAAAGAGACCATATAAAAACCTCCAAAATACACCAGTTAGAGAATAGGATTTCCTATCGAAGTTACGCATCATTGCATTTATTTCCTACACGGAAATAAAGCAATACCTGGTACAGACCTGCAACAAAGCAGACTGCAGTAATTCCAGTTCCCACAGACCTGGTGAGTCCTTGTTTCAGAAAGGGTTAAGCATCCAGCAATAGGTGAAGTCATAGCAATTGTTCTCTATTTCTCTTGATTAGAAAGAAAATGATAACAGCCTCTCTCATATTCAGACCGTTTATTATTTTTTCTTAATAGTTATTCTTTTTTGCTTTCCCAGATAAGAAAAAGCAGGGCCATTGGTGCTCACAGGATACTTATGCCAGATGTAGCCTCACATGAAGAATCAGTAACCAGCCTCCCAAAACCAGACTTTGGTACTCTGGCTCCTATTTAAATAAGTTAATTGGGCTGGATGACTTCAGGATTCACTTCTACTCTTAAAATTAGCTAGGACTATGGGAAAGCACTTAGAAGTAAAATATTGACTGGCATCCAGGTGGTGCAGATCTCAGCAGGGTGCTGCATCTTAAGGCTAGAGGTCTTAATGCATTTTTTTTTCAGTGGAAAAGAGGTAATTAGGAAGCACCCTTTGGTGCCTGTAATGATTTTTGAGGTCTATAGATAGCTTTGGCTACAGCAGAAAGTGGGACAGGATTATACTGAAAGTTGAGGCAGTCTGTCTCCTTCCTCACAGAAGAAAAAAAAAAGGAGAAATAGCTTAGAAGTAAATTAAAACAAGAAGCTAGCCCTAGGAGAAGTGTCTAAGGAGAGATGATAAAAGAAGGAGTCCTGTGGGAATGAGAGCTCTGTCCTTCGTGCTAGTTTAGCTGCTGCTTCCCTTTGCTTCCAGCTTCTTTTAGGATTGCTGTTTATTCTTTTTAGAATGCAAAAAGGAGGAGAGAACTGAGGCTCAGTTGCTTTGCAGAGCTTCCCTGGGGAAGGGCAAACTGGGCAATGCAACTGTGGATCAGAAACAGCTCTGGAGGGCAGATGGAGATGGGAGGGGGATAAAGCCTAAATGCAAACCAAAAGAGATGGTCTGGACAAGGACCAGTCATGGTACCAGGCCAAATGGGATGCAGCTGGGGCACTGATGCTTCAGCTGGGAGCCTCTTTTGAGGCTCATAAAGGATTTCTGGGACTGAGGAGCTCTAGTCCTGCTCAGAAATTGGTCATCCCCCAAACGCCAAAAATAACCCTGGCCTGACTTAGCCAGCAGCCTGTGTTGCAACCATACCAGACTCTGCATGAGTCAGGAAGAAAGCTGTAGGAGAGGAAGGGAAAGGACAGCATTGTGTGGGCTGCCACAGGGTGAGGTGAAGAAAGCACAGTCTGCTACCACCAGTACCCAACTCTTGCTTAAACAGGTTTTTCTGGACAGGTTCAGGATTCACTTCCCCTCTGAAAAGTAGGTGGAAATATGGGGGAGACACTTAGAAGAAAAGTATTGACTGGCATCAGGGTGGCACAGATCCCAGGAGGGTTTTGCATTTCAGAGCCAGAGGTGTTAACACTTTTCCTGGTGCACAAGAGCAAGGTGACCATGTGCAAAGGGGTTTGCTCTTACCTTGATGGGAGTGGCGACTTCTGGGCTGGCTACCACTAAAGGAGAGATCAACAGCATGCCTGAAAACTCACTGGGCCGCTCACTGGCTGTCAGAATGGAGATGGCTCCCCCCTGCAATGCAAAATAACAGCCCACAGCTTAATACAGGTGCCAACATCTTGTTTGCATAGTAATCCTGTTACTGGAAGGGGTTTAGTCCAAGCAAGCAATTACTTCTGCCCCACTGAGAGTGCAGTGGGGTCAGCAAGGGAGGCTGGAGGAGTGGAAGTACTGGAAGTGTCTGGCTTTGTGGGGGAGAAGAGATCTGGTTTCTGTTCTCATGCTACAAACCCTCACGTCACGCAACTCAACTCTCCATGCAACGTCCATCAGCTCCCCAGGATGCCTTGTGTCCTCCTTACTTTAAAGGACTGAGAAGAAGAAAATATCTGAAGTGGTAGTTCAGGAGGGACTTGAAAAATAAGTTGAGTTTTATCAGCCTGACAGACTGGTGCTGCATGGGGAAGGTGCCCTGAAGCCGGGCTTGCTCCGTGCTGTGCCACTGGTAACCTGGGCAACAGCAGTGCTGCCCCTGGCATGTGAAAATCTTCACTAATTAATGGGAATTAAATATTCTCCTCCTCAGTGTCCCCAGCCCCACAAGGGCCTGGCAGCAAACACCCAGCCATGGTCTGGAGCTAAATGAGAGCCAGGCTGAGCCATCCCGCACGAGGATGGGCTGATGGCGAGGGGTGCTGATGGAAGGGATCCCGTGGGCTTGCTTGGGAAAGTTTGCAGAGGATTAGTTGCTAAGGAAAATATTTGGTGAACTTCCACGCTTCTGGAGAACCAGGGGCTTGTTAAATGGAGCAGCAGCAAGAAGCATCTCAAAGGCTTCAGTGGGAAATTGCTCCTTGTTACAGGGTGGCTTTGGAGCACGAGAGCCCTTCAGAGCATGCCATGCCTTCTTATGCCAGAACACTTCTTTATCTGAGCATGGGCTGAATCCCAAAGTACTCATTCATTTTCCTCTCCTCTGGGAAGGCAGAGAGGGCAGATCAATGGCATCAGTGGGAATACTGTTAGCTTGAATAAAGGGATTTGGCCCGTGCTGTCAGAATCAGGCTTCAGATCTGTTCACCAAATCAGTGCCTTTGTTTTTGCAGCCTTAATCCCTGGTACATTTTCCTGTTAGGTTGTTTAACAGAATAAGGCTACAGGGTATTTTTATGCTTCATCCCCATGCTGCTCACAAAGCCTTGGAGGGCTTAACCTCCTGGTTACTGGTTAAAAGAAAGGGGGAAACCTGATGCTGCAGGGAGCTGGTGAGCCTTACCACACAGCCACGGCAGTGAATGGTCATGTTAAAAAGCAGGCTCCTCCTTGCAAATGGCTAATTAGGGCCATGGTGGGGGTGGAAAATTAAGGACTGTCTTTACTCAAGGCAGATCTCAGGGCTGTAGCTTGCTGGCAAATCTATCAGTGAATGAAGTGGAAGGGAAGGTTCTTTGCAGTTTTGTTTTCCTGCTGTGGAATGAGTTGTTTCCTGCCACCCCCATGAGCACCACCAGGCTGTGACACATGTCCTGGGTGCTGCTGGGAGGGGTAAGGGATGGTGCTTACCATGGAGTGCCCCAGGATGAGAACAGGCAGTTTGGGGTGCTCCTTCTTCATGAGATCAATGTGCTGCAAGCTGTCCCTGATGAAGACGTGGAAATCCGAGACAACCATCCGATCACCCTCGCTCTGCCCATGGCCAACTGCAGGGGAGAAGCAGAGCACACAGAGCACACAGGTAAATCACTGGAAGCACTGGGTACAGTCAAGAAAGGACCTGGCAGAAATAAACCTGTTGGACTGTTCCTATCCTAACTTGACCTTCTCCTGCAGTCATCTCTCAACAGAAAAAGTGCTGCAGAAATGCAAAGGAAACTGCACAGCGCTGTCAAGTGCCATACTGTCCCTGACCTGACTTTTTAAAAAACATCATAGAATCATAGAATGTTAAGGGATTGCAAGGGGGCTCTAAATTCGGACTTCTGTTCCCTCACGTTTCTATCTGCTCTTCAAGACTTAGAGTACCAATTTAGTTCTGGCAACATCCACCATCAGGGTGGGGAAAGGCTGTCTTGCCTTGCTGATCCCAGGGTCACTGCATCCTGTGAAATCAGGGATCCTATGCTTTGGGTCTGGTGGCTCACTGTACAGCTGTAACTGCTGTGTAGCATCTTGGCCAAAACCAGAAAGATTCTGGACTAGATAGAGTTGCTATAAACTTAATGGACCATGGACACTGCCTTTCCAGGGCCTGAATGTGCATAAACTTCACGGTCCTTTTTCTCATAATACCCTGCAGTGCTGGGTGGGCTGGAAACCTTCTCTGTGTAAGGTAAGGGGTCAAGTGATGGAGGTTGCAGCAGCCTGCAGTGGGCAAGCATCCAGTGGCATCCTCCTCCTAAACAAGTGTTAATGCCAGCTGTACCACACCTGGACACTGTTTCCTCGCTCTGTGTCTGGGAATTATCTTGCCTCATGGAAGGGAAGGGGAAGATTGAAATGGGAGCTGGTGAGTTGCCATGGGAACAGTGGCATCCCTGGCAGAGGTGGAGCCAGCATCACCACCAACACAGCCCCAGGCAATTTTGAGCTTGCAAAGGCTTGAAATTAATCCCACCTTGGGGAAGCAGTTTGCATGCTTACCTGACCACACATGCATGTTATTGCCTATCACAAATAGGGTTTGTCCTTAGAAGCAGCCCTTTGCTTGTTTCTGTTCCATGCAGGTTGTTAAGGAAAATTGTGAAGGGGAAAACACATCCCACTCGTGTAGGTCAGGGTATAGGGGGTGTTAAACATCTCCCTCCTGCTGGGTGTCTCCTTAGCCCTTCTCCAGTGGGCACTGAGGCACATTTACAGACACAAAGGGACAATGGCTTGTTAAAGGAGGTGAAGCTGATAATTGTTGACATGCTGGATGGTTCCCCTTGCAGTGATCAGCAAAGCAAAGCACCACTGACACAGCCACAAAGGTAGTCAGTCTCATCTGCTGGCAGTGGTCATACCAGTGGGAATCAGTGGGTCTCAAATTTCTTGTAAGCCACCCAAAAAAATCACCTTGCAAATTAGGCAGAACTTCTAATGAAAAGCTGGACTAAATTCACTCCATCTAGGAAAAACTGAACCCCAAACTTGTTTTTTTGTCAGGTGGTCTCCATGCCTGGGTCTTTTGGCAGTGCAGGCTGCAATCAGCCACCCTGGCTGCCATAAAAACCCATGCACATCATGCTGATCAATTACAAATAACATTTTGCCAGTTCTGCTTTCCATGCACACACTCCAATTCCTGCCAAAATATGGCGCAGCAAGCATCCTCCATGGATCAGTGACCAGAAACAAATCAAAGAGCAAATTAAAATACAAGTCATGATAATCTCCAGAAGTGAAACCGTGTGTATGGCTAGAGGAACTATTGACTTTAAACTGGTTTTTATTACAGCTGGAAAGTTAGCTTATTACAATTTTTATACACATTCAGTCCACTCACTTTATGGTCCTCAAATGTGTTATCTGCCTACTATTCAACTCCAAATGTAGCAGGTTAATGTGAGTTGAACAGTCCAGAGAGAGGAACATTTTCTCTAACAGGGCTCTGCACTTAAGTTTTATTTTTTCTCCAGTGCTGCCTCACTTGCTTCCAGTCTCTCCTTCTCTGCAGTCTCAGGCAGCTGTGCAAGCAGAGACAGCAAACCCCCGTGGCCAGGCCTGTCAATGGGCCATGACTCCTTGCTCTGGAACTGGGAGCCCTTGGCCTATTTTTGGATGAGACTGAGGGAGGTCTGGAAAGCCTCCTTGGCTCTAGTGTGAAGAATTTCCCCTGCTCCTACCACATAACAGTGACACTGCTTGTAACAGTCAAAGCAATGATTGCGGAATCCAAGAAATACCTGTGCAATGCTGCGACAAGTTCCTCTTCAAATTTTTCCATTTTTTTTATTAATAACTTAATGAACCCCCCTTTTAACCCCAGTTTTAAATACCAAACTCCTGTTCCCCACTCAGATGGCACAAAGCCTGAGCAGCAATTTGTCTGCACATGTGGGACAGGAAAGCCATGCAAGTTTTTGCTTTGATACTCTCCCTGCCCCGTCACAAGGTTAGCCAGGGGGCATTGCTAGCTCATGGCCTTTTATTTTACTATTTTCTGTTCTTCCCTTCCAAGAAACCAAAGGTGTTCCCCCAGTGAATGAGTATATTGCAAGTTTGAATTCCCCAGCTGACAAACTTCAGGGTGAGGAACCAAGACCCCTTCTATTAGAGGAAAGACATTTGCACAACCAAACATCAATACATTCAAGAGTATTGATGTCTTTTTCTCTGATCTTTTGCCTTTAGAGCTATTAAGAGTGAAAGGTCAGGTTCATCCTTGATGTAAAGCTATTATCTTTGGGTTTTGCTGGGAATGAAGCTGCTGTGGTGATTCCACAGTGCCAGTGGCACAATAGTGGGTGCAAGAGGAGGGGAACCACCTTCCCTTAGCAACTGGGACTACCCAGAGACTGCTCCACACCCAAGTGACACAACACCAAGGCTGACAACAGAGAAGTTGTCCAAGAATCCCAGCAACTTGAGCTCCTCATCCCAGCATTCCCACAGGTTTCAGCAGGGCAGTGTGAGGTGCAGTGCAGAGAGCTGTGACTGCTGGTGCACGTCCCCACAGCCCCCAAAAGCTTTTAAATTGTTTCCTATCTGTCTGTCTTCACACCCAGCCTGTGTGGTTCACTGCTAGTGCTGTGTGTGTGCAGTGGCTCAGTGATCATTTCAGGTTTTGTGCACTGACCTAACTGCAGGCACCCTTTCCACAAGCCTTTAAAAGTGAGAATCCAAACCACATATTTTCAAGTTGCAAATCTAGAATCAGGAGGTTTAAGCATCCATTAAGCAACCAAACACACCTCTGCAAAATAACATATTTTGCCCAAACAAAATCTGAATAAAGGCTTGATCATCTGGCCCAATATGTCGCACAGTTTTTTAATTCTTCCCTCTATTTTTCAGCATGAGCATGCTCAGACTGTGGCTCTGGCCCTGGAGTGAAGAACAACAAACAACTCAGTCAGTCCTGTCAGACAGCATGACTTCAGAGCATGGTTCTACCTATGATTATAGATCCTCCAGAACTACACATCTCTCTGGATAAAATAATACTGACTGCCTGCACAGGGAGACAAAGCTGAGAGTTCAGGGATGGAGAATTTGAGGGTGTGAAGTCTCTGGGGAGTCACTTATAACCATGTAAATATGACTCTGCCAGCAAAACAGATCCTGTGACCCTGGAAATACATCTACAAGTCCCTTCATTCCTCAAATCCCACATTCTCTCATGCTGTGGGGCTTGCTTTTGAAAACCACTCCAAAGCAGCCAGGCTCTTCAGCTGACATTGGCTCACACGCCTCAAAGAAAGGTTACGTCCTGTTCAGATTGGAGATATCCTGAAAAACATGTAAATAAAAACCAGTCCAACTCGACACTCCTTTCCCTTCATTGAAAGCCAGATGGAAACTGCCTGAAGGAATGAGCTCTGGGCTGGTTGGGCAGACTCAGCCTGATGAGGAGACCTGGGCTGGTTCTCCACCACCAGGATGCTTTTTTGCTGAGGCTGTAGGACAAGATGAATAAATCCATCAGAGCTGAAGAAATCCATCCTTAAATGCAGTAAAGGAGACCAGAAGAATATTAGGCAGAGAGGAGAGCTTGGGAGTACCTGTCCCTGCTCACTGTGGGGTGCCTCAGCCCTCAGAGGCATCCTGGGCACGGTGAGTGTCCCCTGACCCTGCCCACCCTCAGATACCTGCTCTGGTTTTGTTATAAACACTGAATTTTACAGAAGCCACACACCATGCATATTTATTTCTCTTTCCAAGTGCTCAACCCTCCTGACAAAAGTGGAGCCTGGCCCTGGGTGCTCAGCTGAGGACTGAATTGACCCTCTGACCTTCTGCAGGAACATTTTGCTATGGAAAATGAGGTGATGGGAATGCAGGTCAAATGTTGAGCTCGGCTATGGTGCTGTAAATTCACCAAATTCAGGGCAGCTCCTTAAAGCTTACAGTCATGGGAAAGCAGAAATTATGCATCATGTTGTTTTTTCAGCCTTTGCCCCCTATCTATTATGGAAAAGCCATAAAACAAAAAGGACAGGAGAAATCTGCCTAGGGAACAGTAATTTTTCAGGAAGAATTTGTATCTTGGCCTCTCAGATATTTTGGTGTTTCCAGCTTTGGGGGAAGGGGATGGTTTGGATCCATTTTTATTGCAGTGAGAACACCACCTCTGCAGGATGAGATGTTCTCCCCTGCCAGCTGATGGTAGAAACAATCAGGAGGAATGCAGGGCTTGACTCCTGCCTCAGGATTCATCAATACTATCTGTTTTCCTCTCTAGAGGTGTAACTCCAAGATTTTAGAGTGGGAGAGTCAGGAACAGGCAGAGCCGGGGGTTAGGTCAGGAATTCCACGCTAACCATTCTCTCAGCACAGACACATTTTGAATTGCAATGGTACTAACAGAGGAGTGTCAGGAGTTTTCAGTGGTTAAAGGTGAGAAGTGCCACCACTGTGAATTCAATGATTCCCAGAAACAGCTGAGGAGCAGCTCTGGTACCTCAGAGCCCCACACTGGAAAGAAATGTCTTAGTGATGGCAGAGGGGCCATCATTGGCAAGGCTTGGTGCTGGAGTGTTTGATTAAAAAGCTGGAGCAT